CTTCTCAGTTTAAAAAAACCTGTTTCTTGACATTGCTTGTGCAATTAGATCAACACCTAGCGCTTGGGACCAGTAGAGCTGCACTCTTGGGAGCTTCAGTACACCCATGGCAATGTGGATACCAACGAACATCTTCAACTCTCTTGAATCCGTTTGAATTGACCTCCCTCCTTTTTCCTGAACGGAATAGAGATTTGTCTGGTAGGCTAATTCCTCCCAGAAGTCCTCTTGAAAGTATCTGAGAAAATATTTCAATGGTGTTTCTGGCTCCTGGTGCACCTGGCTGCTTGATACTTCATTCTCTTTTCTGACAGTAACGCCAGAAAATCTGATTTAAAAAAATAAGAAGTGGGTTTCAGTGCAGAGAGCCTCTTCTAGTTCACTTGATATATGCATACAAAAATGGAAGCCGTTTACAAATCCCTGTAACGCCGAATTGGAGCGCAGCTCTTGAGGAGGAGTAGGGAAGGGTACTGAGGGGGGGGTCACGTGACCTTGGGGGGAGGGGTTCGTTTGACCCTGAGGGGGGTCACATGACCTCAGGGGGGGGGGGGGGGGGTCACGTGACTTGGGGAGTCGCGTGACTTCGGGTGTCATGTGACCTTGTGGGCCACGTGACCCTAGGGGAGGGGTCACGTGACCTTGGGGTGACCTTGGTAACGCCAACGGCGACGCCTCTCAAGCCGGGAACGGGCCCCTAAGAGCTGCGCTCTAAAAATACTAAAAGATACATACGCTCTGCTCCTCCACCTTGGCGGAGTCATTGCTGGTGGCCTTTGGTCACTTTGATCGTCTTGGCTGTCGTCACTCTCAGGTTCTGTATTACCACGGCGGTCCACACCATTGGCAAGAGCATCGGTGTCCTCCGAGTGTGTAAGATCAACGTCACTTTCTTGCAGAAGGGCCTGGATTTCTTCGTCAGTCAGGTACGATGGTGATTTGCTGAAAGCAATCAAGTGCGGATGATATTGTACTAATGGCTAACAGGAGGACAGAGTTGCAGGAATTAATGAGCATCTGTGGTAGGGAAGGAGAGGAATTAGGTTTAGAATTCAGTAGCGAAAAATCAGCAGCCATGATTTGTAATGAGGATGAAGTTGAGAGGCTGAAGATACAGAATATTGCAGTTGAGAGAGCTAGTAAATACAAGTATCTAGGAGTATGGATATGTGATGGTGCAGAATATCTCAGACAGCATGAAAAGTATATAATAGGTAAGGGCAACAGAAATGCAGCTGTAATGAAAAATTGAGCACTTTGGAATTACAACAGGTATGAGGTGGTGAGAGAGATTTGGGAAGGGGTCATGGTGCCTGGCTTGACTTTTGGAAACGTGGTGCTATGCATGAAATCCGAAGTGCATGTGAGACTAGAAATAAAACAGCGCGGAGTAGGTAGACTGGCTTTGGGGACACATTGCAAAACGCCAAACCAGGGAGTACAAGGAGCTCATGGGGTGGGCGTCATTTGAGAGCAGGGAAGCGGTGAGCAAGATAGAATTTGAGGATAGGTTGAGGCAAATGGATGGGGAGCAATGGGCACGAAAGGTTTTCAGCTATTTATACATGAGGAGTGTAGACACAAAGTGGAGACAGCGCACTAGGAAATTAAGAGGAAAGTTTTTGGGCTATAGCGAAGATACGGAAGAGCAAGTCTCAGTTAAGAAGAAAGTTAAGGCCACAGAAAGAGATTGGTGGCTAGAGGGAATGCAGACAAAGACGGCTCTGGAAAGCTATTGATTAAGCAAAACAGTTATTGCCAAAGAAAGCATTTATGACAATTTTAGGGGAAGCTCATTGTTGTTTGAGGCGAGGACGGGTGTTCTGCGAACCAGAACATACAGAGCGAGGTACCAGGAAATGGATACAGTGTGCACTGCTTGTGGAGAGGAGGACGAGACGGCTGAGCACTTGATACTCTACTGTAAAGGGCTTCACCCTATGCTTACCGAAGACAACATAGATTTAATAAAGTCATTGGGTTTTAGAGACAGCGAAGGGAGAGTGGATTTCAAGACTGTAGAGATTACCAAGCAAAGATTAAGTGAATGGTGGCAGAAATCGAGAGAAAACTAGGTATTTTCTTATTCACTGATGGCAGGGCTTCATAGCCTCACTTTTTTTGCACTGCGGAGTGAATATAGATTTCACATTTAAATATTCTAAGCTTAAATGGTAAAACAAAATGGCTAGGTGGCGTAAGCTACCGCCCGATCCAAAGGGCTCAGCCGTATTCATCCATCCATCCATCCGTTATTGCTCCAGCACCTAGAACAGTTAGACATGCCACGGCAGTGGTTGGCCCTCGTCCGACGTCTGTATTCGGGCAACGCGGTGACAACAGAGATGAATGGTGCCAAATCGGAGCAAGTGACTGTAACAAGAGGTCTACGACAAGGCTGTCCGCTTTCTCCTCTCTTATATATCCTCTATGTGTCGGGGCTAGAGAGACGCTTGCTCCAGTCGAGGGTAGGATTCTCTTTCACCCATTTAGAAAAAGGAGAGCCAGTGAACTGGACGCTACCAGGTCTCACCTTTGAGGATGACATCGTACTTACAGCGGAAAGTGTAGAGTCACTACAGCAGCTTTTAGTCATTTGTGTAGAAGAGACGGATGCGCGCTGCCTTCGCTTCAACAGCAAAAAGTCGGCAGTCGTGCAACTAGCCGGACCTGAAGAGCCGCGTCTTGGTCACTGCGTGCTGAAGGGCGAACGAATCCCCCTGCAAGGCACCTATAAGTACCTGGGTATTCTACTCACAAATAAGCCAGAATACCTAGCGGAACACCATCTCCACCTCAGAAAGACGGTTGTGCGAAACACCAGTGTCCTTCGCAAGCGTAACCTATGGAGCTGCAATCGATTTCTGGTTACAAGGGAACTCTGGAAAGCAGCCATGGTCCCTGGCCTAACGTTTGCTAATGCTGTTGTGTGCATTCCTGGAGACGTGAGGGACATTCTGGAGCGCCGGCAGCGCGAAGTTGGGAGGCAGGCCCTAGGCTGCCATGGCATGGTGGCGAACAAAGCTGTCCAAGGAGATCTTGGATGGTCATCGTTTGAAGCCAGAGAAGCAGCTAGCAAGATCGGCTACGACGGGCGTCTGCGACTCATGGACCGAGGACGGTGGGCCAAACGACTATTTGTGTACATACACCTGACAGGGATACAGACAAAGTGGAGAAAGCGACTGTACCAGCTGGAAAAGAAATATGGCTTCTTTACTGTGCCCGTGGCTGCCACTACAGAGCAAAAGTGGGAACTGGAGGTGCGGAAGAGAGTGCGCGAGGAAGAGGCTGTGCAGTGGTCGGAGGCGGCCCGCTCAAAGTCAACCCTGCAAGTGTACAACCGCTGGAAAAATGAAATATCGACAGAGACAACCCTGTATGATAATAGCCTGGGGTGCTATGTTGCGCTTTTTGCACTCCCAGGAGACTTGGAAGAGGGAAGTGACGTCAACGACACAGCAAACGCAGATTGGATGTTGACAGAAGAAAACAAAGTCAACACCCAATCTGCGTTTGCTGTGTCGTTGACGTCACTTCCCTCTCCCTAGTCTCCTGGGAGTGCAAAAAGCGCAACATAGCCCCCCTGGGCAGCCGCCTGCTTTTTGAAGACGTGCGGGAGGGCTAAGAACGCTAGTGTACAAGCAGCGTTTTGACTAACAGGTACAATCAACATCATGCCGGGCATGTGGCGAAACCGAGGAAACTATCAAGCATATTGTGCTCTCCTGCCCAAGTCTCGTACCAAGACACCCGGTGGATTGGGGCCAGGCGCCAGACAACGGGCTGCATCTAGACGAGGCACATTCACACGAACAAGTTCTGGCAGAAGCCCTCGGCTTCCGAGTCGGGGACACAGGCAGGGATGCTGTGTGCTAGCCCAGTGCGGACGTAAATCGCGCTGCAGTGGCACTGCAGCCCAGCTGGAAGTGCAGCAACGCAGTCGAGAGGACTAAAAGGAGGTTGGAGGACTGGTGGCGAAGAATGCAACAGTAGTGCAATTTTTTTTTCTCTCCGTTTTTATTCGGCTAGGTTTGATTTCTATTCAAACCGCCCGCTTCAAAAGGAACAGCCATAAAATCATCATCATCATCATCATCATCATCATCATCAAAGGCCCATTCACCATTACTATGGTGCCTGGATCGCGTCTTCGACTGGTGTGTTTAGCGTCCTATCCCGCCCATACATCAAAAGTGGTCCCGATGTGGCAACAAATGACGCGAATGTCATGCTGTTGCCTGTCGCGATCCTGGCGAAAAGCACGAGCGAACGCGAGTGTCGCTGTCGTCACGGAGTCCCTTTAGGCGTCCCAACTCCGGCTGCTCTAGCTTCCGTGAACTGTCACAGTGGAAAGCGACCTGCAGCAGAACAGGCATCTGCCACATACACCACAGCTGTTGGGACGCCGCCAGGGTCGTGACCGGCGACAGCATGACACTTTTATGACGTCATCAGGCGGAAATCGAGGGACCACTTTTTTGGCCGCGGTAAACACACCAGTCGGAGACGCGTTCCAGGCACCATACCATTGATACCATTACTCAACACGACAAGGAGGAGGACGACGGCGCGCGGCTTCCATGGAAGATGCCATGTTCGAACGCGCTGTGCGGCGCTGTGCGGAGAACGGCGCACGGACGAGCAGAGGCCATGCAGAATGATCAGAATGATGCTGAGGCAACGCCGACGCCGCTTTGGCTGAGGCGATGACGTGCAAAGCCGCCTTTGCGACCAAGCAGGCCAAGCAGGCACACGGGCACACGGCAGGCCGTGGCAGGCGCCATTCCTCACGTAATTTTTGTGGCGTAATAAATTAAAACTATTTAGTCGTTTTAAGTACTTTAAATAATTCTAAAGCATAACAATTTCAAAAATGAATAGTTCTCACGGAAAGATTTCTAACTCATTTTAACCAAATTACAGAAAAGCGCCACGTAGTGGAGGGCATTAAACGCACTATCTGAGCCGCGACGGAAGGAAAGCTAAAGCGCGGTGCGCGCCATTTTCAATCGCGAATTTGGGTGGTAAATAATAATGCGTCTCTTACTTTCCGTTTCTACCAGGTAGGAAAAAACTATTCGGTGGTCGACAGACTGGACAGAAATGCAGGTAATGAAGACATAAACGCTTCTACCAACTATGATGACCAAAGAACACCAATTTGTGGTGAGCAGCAAGTGATATGGACTGAATATCTAAGCTCTATCACCATCGTCCTACTCACCCTCGTTTTTCAGTAGTGACGTGATCGGCTCGGCTTCAGCCGAAACTTTAATCGGGAACCGGTCAGGTTTTCTCACTTTGTTCCTCCGTTTGTTTATTTGTCTTTCAGGCTCGACCATGTCGCTTCAGAGGCGTAGTGCAGGCAGTTTCCGAAATTTTCGGGTAGGTGTGCTTTCGGAACATTTTTGCGTGTGCTTTTGTAACCGACATGCTGTACGTATGCCGTTATATAGATTGTAATGAAACGTTATTAATCTTCCAGAAACCAGATGTACGTCCTGATGACGTTCAAGGATCCAGACAACGTCGAACGTGTTGCTCCGGTTATCATCGTAGATGACACGGTACTCTGTCAACAAACAAACAAAACAAAAAACTGCGGGATACGGTCGAAAAAATGAAACCTGATTTTTCGGTCTGCGCAGACACAGCATATGAGCTGCTAAAAACTGAGAATCAGATGCTAGTGGTGGTGGCGGAATCTTGTATCTTTTGATTTAGGTAATGTCATGTTCCCAAACTTGAGCATACTACCGCTAGTGTCACGTTTTCTTACAGTTTCAGCTTGCTGCGATCATATTTTATTTTAGGGTAGAGCTATACGCACGAGCTCCTGCACGTTGGTCGGAAATGGCGCACATTGCGAAACTCGTATAAAATCAGTGGTTACCACGAGTTTCCGAAGCGGCAGTGTAGCTTAGTGGAAAGGTCTCTGCTTTATACGCAGCGAACTCCGGTTCAATCCACAGAGTGGGCTTACTTTTTTTTTTTTTTTGTCAAACATTTTGTTTTGTTGAGCATTTGGCGATATTTATGACATTTCTTTACAATTAACACTGAAAAAAAAACTAGTGTTGTCGGCGAAACTTTCTCTGAACTAAATGGTATAGGCTGCCTGCTTTGCCCAGGAGGCGCTGCGAAAAAACCGGCTGGCAGCGCCCCCTACTATTTCTTTGGCGGTGCTGGGTAGTACAAACTTGCAAACTTGTGCATCTGAATTTGTCCCGCGTGAAAACGTTAGCCTGCAGTAATTCCTTCCTAGCAATTGTCCTGCGGCTTGGAATCGAGCCAATTTCTAACGTGGAAAACTTCTTTCGTTCCTCAACACTTCTCAAAGAGAATGAACTCGGCAGCGTAAGTTACGTCTACGCTATACAAAAAGCCACAAATTTGGTGTCGGCGTGCTGTCACTCGCAAGAACAGCGAGCTTATGCTGTCGAGCTTGAGGTGAGCATTACGAGATACGTGAACGCACGTTGTGAGCAAAAACTCCTGAACTGCAGTCCGTCCATACAGCCAACACTATCAGCTGATGACCAGCCTCAAAAATGCGCAAAAGCAGATGCAAGCAATCGAGCGTCGACCGGCCGTCTGTTGGCCGAGCACATCATTCTTACTACTACTAATAATGATAATATTAATAACAATAATAATAGTAATAATCTTTATTTGAAGAGAAGTTTTACCCCAAGTGGTTGCTCGGCTAAAACAGAAAGGCGAAACCCCGTACGCTTGTGCGTCTGCTATCCAACCACCCAGGGCAGGAGGAAAACATGACTAGGCTGTATCTCGAGCTCTTGCAGCTTTTCTTGCACATCTGCGATGTAAGCTTTACGTTGGTGCACGTGCATGCCCTATGTAGTTCAGTCGGATCGCTCCATTGGTTGGACTGTATAGCGTGTTCCTCTTCGTAAAATTTCCATGACACGTTTCAATGCATATGCCATGGCCGCTTGATCGAGTGGCCGTGCCTTAGCAGAACAACCCGGAGGGCGAAAAAAACAATTGTCTTGCTTACTCAGCTTAGTTCTCTGGGCGTCCAGTATCGTTCCCTCTGCTCGACTTTGCACAATTTCGATGGGAATCTGTAGAAGTTCACTCCAGGGTTCTTCCCGTTCTTGACAGTTGATGACGCAGCAGTACTGTCGACGGCGACACTTCACGCATCAAGGCCGCGCTGCTGGCTCCCGGTTTTGACGTGCTTGGAAGAAGGAAAAATGACTAGCTTGCGGCAAGCTTGGCTCCCTGGGGTAACGTTATGCAGTGACGACTACGGGTGGACATATTTTGAGTCGTGACCACACAAACGCACAAATAACAGCAGCGTCCAGAGGTAAACAGCCACCCAAACAGGTTTTTTATCGTGCGGGGCCACGGAACTTGTACCACTGGGACACTCTATTGCCCGTCACCGGAGGGCGCCACGATGCGTTCAAAGCTTCAGCGCAGGACGCCTATGGGGCTGCCTTTCCGGAGGTGCAATGGGGGGCAGTGTGCCTTGGGTTACCGGCTGGACGCCGCGAAGCGACGTCTACGGGGGGGGGGAAGTGGGTTAATAGCTTTGTAATGAGCAGCCGCAGACTGTCACCGCAAAGCAGCGTGAACGCAAGCATGGGGGTGGCTTAACACGCCCCCTAGTGATGCATGCGCCATTCGAAAAGGGTGGCCCAAATGGCAAGAGCTCTCCGCGTTGTGCTTATAGCCATTTCCGGTCAAGGTACACGAGCTCATGCATATAGCTTTACTCTTTTATTTATCTGGGCTAAAACAAATTGCTTTTATTTTTTCGATTATATGCTAATCCTAAAGCATTAGCTTACCACCTGCTCAACTTTATCATTCTCTTATGTACAAAAATTACAAATTTCAAGTACGAGAAATATTGAGATTACAAGAGCAGGCTTTTTAAAACCAAATAGACGCGGTCTGCAGTTTCCACGAAAGATGACTGAACCGAGGTTTCGTTCGCTTTGTCTTCAGGACACGTCGACGCTGTGGCTCTTTCGAGACAAGTTCACACCGGGCAACACATACACAATTCCCCATGCCACTCCAGCCTTGTTGAGCTTCGACGAGCAGGTAATTTCCCACCACACTCGACAGCTCCAAGAATAAAGGTAACTGTTTCGTTTTTTTGCTATTTTCAGGTTCGGTTGGCAGTGCTGCATAGCCCGGTTTCCATTGCTTCCAGCAATTTGTCAGAGGCAAGCAGATACTTTCACCTTGCTGTGGCGATCGTTTCTAGATAGGAGCCGTTAACATGCAGGACGGAGATAGCGTCGTTCCGCTTCTTGGACAAGGCGGTCTATCTAGCCGCACGTTGCATCCCCGTATCCCGGACGGCGATCTCGCCTGCCACGAGGTGAGACCTGTGGGCTCCGTTGTTAGCTAAAGTTTAGGACGAAAAGTGCTTAGAGCTTGCAAGACCAATGGAAGCCTCCTCCTTTCCCCCCAAAACAAGCTGTATTTCGAGGAGACTTCTTTGTTGTCTGCTCTGCCCAGAGGGGCATTTGTAAAGACCACCTCCACGAGGCTCAACTCCTGTTTCCTCTGCAGTTGCCCCCTCAAACCTTGGACCCTTAGGAAAACAAACGAGAGAATGATTATTTCTTTGCCACAGTAGCACGAATAGATGAGGAACCGTTTTTGCACATTCGACACGACGGGCCCTCCGGAATGAGCTGCGAATGTGCTGCCACATAAGACCCACACATGCATAGTTTGTACCGGAGGGCCCATTGTAACCGTACCGGATGTGCGAAAATGGTTCCCTAAAACTCTCTATTGAGTGCAGGGCTTGTCGGAGGTAGAGGAGGATCGGGCTGTAGGCCTTGTGACTGGAAAAAGTAAACGCCGCAGCCGCTAGCCACTTCGGGTTCGTGCACGTCGTGCGAAGGTTGCGACAATGTCCTAACGAGCCGCTAACAGTGTGGCAAGCTGTTGAATTGTTAAGACGCCCCGGCTAACAAACTTAAAGGGTAACTGCAAAGAAAAATGTTCTCTTTAAACAGCCTAATTGGGAAAAGGATGTCGCAAAAGAAATCTTCCGTGAAGAAACAAAATTTTTTTAGCAGTATTTACGCCACAGGACGTCATTTAGTTGGAGTCATAACCTCTCCACATTTGAAACTCCCGCTCTTTCGATGCGCGCGGAGTGGCTGTAATAGTCACTCAGTGACGTATAACAGCCACTTTGTGGCGTATAATACCAACTTTGTGGCGCGCGATTTAAAACGGACAAAATAGCCGCAAACGAAAATCAGTCTCGCACAATAAATTTTGCTGTAAAATATTTTTCCTTCGTGGAAAGATTGTTTTGTGACATACTTGTCCCAATAAAGCTGTTTAAAAATACACTTTTTTTTTTTTTTTTTGCAGTTACCCTTTAAGGCTGGTTCACACGCTTGCAACCGCTTATGACCGGGCGCCTTAAAATCTCTCGCGACGAAAGCAAAGCCACTGGCGCCATCTATCCGGTATATAGCTGTGAAACACTTGGCATTTTAATATATTTTCTGGGTTTTTTTGTGCATCATTCTTTCTCTTTTGGCTGAAAAGTCTTTTGACAACGTTATAAATAACCATTTCACGCAGTTAGTATGTACATTTAATCTTGCAAAACCTTCACTCTAGTGAAATGCAGTTCTAAGGTCGTCTCATAGGCGGCCCTAGAACTGCATGCCAGTGTGCTTTCTCGCCGTAAAAGTCACAAGAACTTGGTCGTAAGGAAACGCGAGTTTGCGAATTCCATCCTTTAGTGTGCTGTAATAATCTAGAAATAAGATATTGTTTAAAGCTTTTTATTTATTCTGATTTTTCTACAGGGCACCATTACCGAAGTGATCATCCCGGAGCTGGCAATCTACCGACTGGACGATGGCCGGGTGCTAGTGGCATCACTGCTCGCCTGCAAGGCGGACTTCCCGCTCCTGGCTCCCGGAACGCGCGTTCAAATCTCTCGCTGCCACTCGGTGCACGCAGAAGACGGGAGCGTCCATCTTGTTCTCTGCTGCGGCTCCCGTGTCGAGGTCTCTACCGAGGACTCCGTTCAGGTCTCCCTTACTTCCTTCCTGCCTTGTGGGCGTAGCGACGTGTGTACGGCAGAAAAGTTCTTTAATCCGTGCTAGCTGAGAAACTCTACTAAAATATCAAGATGGGTTAGTTGGTTAAGCGTAATAAACGGTGCGAAGGACAGGCAAGGAACATAAGTAGCGCTTATGCTGTCTACTTGTCCTTGTCAGTAACCTTCGTGCTATTTACGTTTATTAGTTCGGTAAGGGACCTGACTGATACAGTAAAAGCAAGTATTTTTTGTATGCACCTGTTTCTGCTACTTCGCTACATTGTCTTTCTTTTGTGACTAAGGATCCAGCCTGAAAAACGCGTGTCCTTATTTTGACGTAGCGAACAACTTCGAGCAAGCTTGGTTGTGTCACCAAAATTCAGAACGGAAATGACAAAAATCTAGCCATTTGCATTGAGGTTAGGTGCTTATCAATTTTGAAGGCAAGTGAAAAATGCTCATTTTTAAAACTGGAGTGATCCTTCAAACAATTCAATTTGGTGAAATGTGAAATCTATGTTTCGCACACCGAATGGTGTCTGCACGTGGAAAAGAAAACATTTGGGGGGGGGGGGGGGGGGGACTGCGAAAGAATGTAGACTGGTGCACTCTGCTAAGCTCTGTAAATACACGCAAATCTTCCAATACAGCCTATGGTAGCCCACGAAAGACCCTACGCTCCGTTTTGCCTTACGTCCAACCGCTGTAGACGCTATGTGCCATCCCAGCCAATCCAGCTCTGCGAACGCATCACGTGACACGATTCCCACGCATCACTGCGCCCCCTCTCCAAGGCTGCATAACGCTCGCGTGACCTTGGATTAACTCCGGTGGCTCTTAGCACCCACTGCGGTCGGTTGTAAGGTGAAGCAGAGTATAGCCTTCAGCACGCGCTCGTCGCTTTCCACAGGGCTTTGGTTGCACGTGCAACAAAACATTATCGAAGGCAGTAAGCTCTCGCTCGTAACCCGTCGCCTACTAAGTATACAAAACCCTGATCTATAAAAGTTTAGAATAGCTTGTCTAAATGGGTCGTTTTACACGCAAGTCACGTTTGACTACTTCGATTTTTGTTTGCACTGGTCCGCACTTCCGCAATAATGCCCAGCGGCAATATATACTGTAAAATGCCGAGCATTCACCTGGTCCAGAATAAGTTCCCACCCCTCGATTTTGTAACATTGTGAAAATACTCAAAGGACATATCTTTGCATGAAGAGCACCAATCTCCCAGTTTTGCGTGATTATCTCTAAGTTTTGAGTGGGCGCTTGCTCAGAATTTTACGCTACGTGTCTTTGGGGATGAGCAAGACGGCATATTGCCGTCAGTTAAAGGGGTCATGAAACAATTTTTCTAGTTTCGCTAAATACTACTTAGAATCACATTTTAACGTCAATACCAGAGTAAATTTGCCTTAGTTTTTCTTTCTATGCAATGATAGTCGCCAAAATAATTAAAGAGATATGAGCATCATTCATCCCCTCAACTCGGAGCTAGAACAATCATCCACGTGGTGCCTGTCCTATGCAACCAACGTTAATCCTACCCACTCACTAAGGTTGACAAAGTAGAAAACGCATGCTGAGCTCCAGGCGTTGTTAGAGTTTGTCTATTCTCATCACTGTTCCCATCACACGAGCCACTACCCGAGTGTTCGCCAAAGCATTGGTTGTTACGAGTCGGAGTCGAGTGCTCACGCAGTTCTCGTGTCCAATGCATGAGCTGCGCTCGACTGTCGTCAGACGGGTGGTTCCGATCCCACAATTATGTCATCAAGCTTTGCGAAGGCAACACTGAAAGAAATAGTCCCCTTTAATCTTTTGCAATATCACCGCGACAAAGAAGCTCCTCAATCAGTGGCAGTCTGTGCATGTTTATACTCGGGTCAGACTAGGACCAGTCCGCCTCTGCAAAGTGTTGAACATTCCAACCCGATATCGTTTCATGACCCCCGTAATCCTCGAAAGCCTTGGGTGCATCGCAATGTTTACGACTTCCCTCGTTCGCAGGCTTTCTACCGTCCCCACACACTTCGTTGGGTCGGGAGCCTGCACGGCACTTACCCCATGGTCATACAACTTCTCAGGACACTTCAAAAGCTCCAGAGGCAGTTTGTGCCGGGGTACCTGTCCCACGCCGACCTAGTTAGCTACGATACAGACGCAGAAGGGTAATACCGACGTCCGGTACAAGAGTTAGTTCCAACGTACTTGACTACATTCTTTTTCTTTTTCCAGGAAGCGATCTCACAGCCTGCTCTTCACGTTGCTCGGGATGTGTGGCCCACGCCACAATTCTCGGCCGGCCAGGCACGCTGTCCTCGAGTTCTTTCGCCAGCCCCACGACTGCGAAGCGATCCTGACTGACGTAAATATTGCCCCGACTATTCACCATTTTAGAAATGCGTAACCGGAGCCACCTGGCAGGGAGCGAGCTTCGAGGATTCTGAGGACGTAACAGTGTGCGGATTAGGAAGGAGAGGGAAGAAGCGTCTTAGAACAAGCTTGGGGGTGGGAAGATAAACCACAATAGGAACAAAGAGATTTTGGAAGAGACAATTTAGGTCACTGCAGCCCAACAGAGCCGTCGGGATCTTGCTCCCTCGGTTGGGGGACAGCCCGCACCCGCTCGAGCACAAGCTCGCATATTCTCATGCTAGAACATCCCGAACCAATGATTTTATGGAATGGTCCACCACGCAGGAGTAGAGAAGCAATAAATTGAGCAACGTATACCACGGATTCCAAACTGCTAGATCGTCGTAATACAAGCAGGGAGTGCCAATGTTTGTATCTACCGACTTGGAAGTTTTCTCACTGGTGCATTTGAGCATGCAAAGGAGCGCGAGACCAAATACGCCTTTTGAGGCTTACGTGTCGGCATTTCGCACGCTTTCGATACGAATGCAAATGACGTAACGTTTGTCTCAGTGGCAATCCCGCGCATTTCGAGCACGTCTCGGACTTGTCCCTCGACCGACGAGCATTGCTCCTGGGCCGTCACCCTTTGGCCTCTAAACAAACCCGAGACTGGGAACGCACAAAAGGAGACGACTGCGCAAACATACGCCTCTGCCGCACATAGCCCCGTCACAATTTTTTTTTTTTCCCCTTGGACGTGAACGGTCAGCGGCTTGCCTGTTTAGGAGGCATTATTTTTGGTTGCCCTCGTTTCAATGCTCAGAACGTTCCTCACCATCTGGAACTCGTCGTTTCGTCGTGCAGGGAGACGGCGATTTCCTGGGACTGCCCGTCGTCGATCTGGAATCCCTGCCCGAAATGGCGCGACAGAGGGCGCACTGGGTCGCTGCGGCCCCTACGTGGCACACGGCCGTGGTGCCGCTTAGAGAGCTCGGCGTCCAGGCAAGTCCCAGAGACATTTTTCCGCAGGGTGACCCGGAATGCGCCTCATTTAAAATCAAATCACTTCTATTTCGCCTTGAACTGCGTATTTGTAACGAGGACGTTGGAAAAAAAAACAGCGGGTTTGCAGCTTGACAGGTCATAACGCCCCCGTCATGGCTAGAGCGGGGGAAATATAAAGTGAATATGCCTACCGTAATATTCCGGGAGATGACCTACCCTCAAAAGATAAGCCACCCCCTATTTTTGTCACGATTTGATATTTTTTCTGAAACACCGAAATATAGCCCCCTTCTAGTGATTGCAGGGCCCTGGCCAATGGTGGCCTCGGCTAAAACTCTGCTACTTATTCACTCCGAGATAAACGAACAATGCCGACTGAGAAGGACAATTATTTTTGGTTCATCGATCACAAGTTAGGTGCAAGGGTAACGAAATCTGAAACTAGCAGTTTTCCAACTTTTTTTCTTTTAAGGCACGCCGAAAGTTATCCCAGCCCTTATTTTCATCTGATTTGCTGTAAATTTTAGCTGGGCTATCTCTCGGGGATATTACAGTATACATATGCACCTACCTATGGGTAAAAACAAATAAATGAACAATTTTTTTGTTGTCGTTTAGAACAGATAATTCGTGTTTAAAAATAAAATATACATATATAGACGCATATCTCTACATGTCGGGATAATTAAACACACACATTCATTAATCATACAAAAAACTAAGAGCGTTTAAGAGAACAGGCAGCTTGTGTCCGAGTCTTTCGAAACCAAAGTTTCTCCTGGAATGGGGGAATGCGCGGTTCTGAGTGGTGCGTTCATCATCCTCTACGGGCTGTACGTCGTAAGCGGTCTCAAAGTGGCAACGAGCGACGTCACAGGAGCCGGCGCGTTGTGTTGTCGGATGTCGCAATCCTGGTGGTTGGTTGTGGACGTTACGGAAAAAAGTGAGAGAAAATGCGAGTGATCACCGCCGTCGCCGGTGCTTCCGCGGACTGTCAAGTTGGAGAGCGAACTCCAGCAGAACAGGCGTCTGTGACATCTTCCCCTGCTACCGTGTGGCTGCCAGGATCGCACCATGCAACAGCAGGACACTTTCGTGACATCATCGGGCGGAAATCGAGGGAACTCATCCGATGGCGTGGTAAATCACGCCTGTGGGAGACGCGCTTTGGGCACCATTGTAGCGACAGCAGCGATGTACGTCAAAGAACTTCTCAGCGGCGATCGTAGCGAAAGGGATTAGGCTCGTTGCTTGTCGGGCAACGAACGAGCTTTGCAAAGACTTGCATCCAGCGTGGACAACACATTCCTTCAGGGAAAATTTGTTCCCTGCATTGTCCTCAAGTGTCCCAATCTTTTTCTATTTATAAACGTGCACCGTGAAAAATCGCGGGAGTGCCCGTTTCGTTCAAGGGCCCTCTAGTAACGTTTCCAGAACTTGAGAATTCTGGAAACCGGGCTAAGCACTCAATTTCACCGGACAAGCGCCCATGTCCAGATTAAGCAATGTCCCGAGTCATTGCCCAAGTCACTTTTTGGGACGAATATCGATTTAAAAAAACACATCGAGTGATTGCCTACCCCTATAAATACCCCAACGCAGACTCTGCGATCCGCTAACATCCATCTTATCCAAATGATGTTGTCGCGTGGACCTTACGGTTGAATGACGTCTATGGCAAAGTAAAACAAGGGAGGGAAAGACGCTCCTCTCTGTCTACGCATTTCCTTCCGGATTTTCGTGAAACCGAAGTCGGAGTACATTCGTGCGAAAGAAAAGCGATGGAGAGAACAAAAAAAAAAAAAAACTTTGTTTCGCTTTCACAAGTTATTTGTTCGGACAAATAAAAAGAAGTCTGAAAAATAACGCAAGCAGTAACCCATTCAGGGATAGCGAGGGTAGTGAACGACCCATATCTTGGAATGTAACCGCGGAGTGTAAGGTCAAAGTCCGTCTCCACCGAAATAAGGCCACCGCACACCCGCTCCTTCTCCCGGAATGTCGCAGCCGCGGTTGGTAAGGTTGTGCAGTGTTTAAAACCGAGCCAGCGGCTAAATAAAGATTTGCTGGAATGCCGCGCAGACGTTCGTAAAGTGTCCCAATTCAAGCTCCGTGTTCGTAATGCCGTCCACACCACGCAGCAACGCTGCCTCAAAGTGTGTTGATAGCATGCGGCGTACGGACGCACGCATGTATGCACCAAACTAGAAAGTTGTGCAAGAGCCTGCTCCTTGTGACTGACAACGTGCCCAACTTGCCCCAATGCCAAGTATTTGCCAACGCAATCGCTGGCTTTCGCGCTTTCCCCCCAACATCGCTCTTCATCGCTTCTTTCGCTTGCTCGCTCGTTCGTTGCGCCTGGTTGGTTTATCTGTTTTCTTCTCTAACGAAAGGAACATAGCGACGGTAGAAATCTGTTTTTACGGAACAAATGTTTGTGCTGTATGCCAATCAGTGGTGTTCATTGCGTGTATGCAAGCAACAGACTGCAATAGTGAAACATTTTTTTCATGAGCATTTCTCGCATAAAACAATGAAACTAATTCGAGTTTTGAATTTAATGTACCTCTTGTGCAGCAACGCTAAATATGTAAAACAAAATGGGAGTTTTTATAGCTTTTTCCACACTTTTTACGCCACGGAGACATGACCCAGCCCATTTTGTTATGAATTTCAGGCAACAGGGGAGTGGGCGATGACTCCGAATATTACGTAACCCAGTTTTCACTAAAAGTGTGGAGGGCTCTTTCCCGGTATTTTACGGTAGGTATAAGTAATTAGCTGAATTAATACAACCGTCACAGTGTAAAGGTCGAATTACTTCTCAGTTTTTGGGTTGAATGCTTGATGCAACTAAGCTGCGGTAATGTGTGAAAGTAATGTAACATATGCCCAATCTTAATTTGCTTCTTTTACTTACTCGAAACATATTCTAAAAAAAAGGAAGAAAAAACGGCTATTTTATAAAGTTATTGAGTGACAACTTGTTAGGAGTCAAGTAACCGCACAGCAGCCTTGCTGTCTGCCACTACCGGAAGTTTCACGAAATGGGCTGTCAAGACAACAGGCAGTCGATCAACACCTCAGACCACTCATTAATTTTACACCAGTTGCGGGTGTGCAACCGTTGCACCATATTGTTGCTGGACTTTTGCACAACCTGTAGTTGCTGCACTCCTTTGTTGGCCACATGACAGATTGTGACGTGCCAGGTCACTATGTGACAGATCGTGACATGACGGGCCATGACCATACCCGCCATGTCTCCCAACCGGGAGACTCCCAAATTTTGGCCATTTCATAGAGTTGTACGATTTACAGAAAAATCTACCAAAAACGTAAATTAACTTCCTACCCCCCTCCAAGCACTTAAATAAGGAGTTTTTGCCGTTACAGCAGACAGCAGCAATAATAGAGAGGCCCAGCTGTAGCTCGCTGCTACTCCATTACCCCCTCCCAGCTTATAAATTATCCCAGATTTGGTTTCTCCGAACTTGGCAGCTACGCATGACTCGACAGGTTGCAACACAACAGGTCGTCACTTGGCAGGTTGACAGAACGGGTTACGACTTGACAGGTCGTGACACAGCGGTTCGCGACTTAACAGATCATTACCACCCAACAGGTAGCGACAACACGGGTCATAACTCGACCATTTGTAGCAGACAGCGACACAACAGGTGTGATAGCATAGGTCACAGCAGGTCATGAGACAATTGCTCGCCATCCAACAGAGAGCGTCTGTCAGCCTCGTAGAGACTCAACTTCCTCCCAGGTTGTGGGCTGCCTGGGACTGTCCTCCGAAGGAACGTTGCACCTGTGCGACGCCACGGGCACGCTCCGACTGCACACGCTGGTGCCGGCCGCGAGGCTACCCCTGGGCCATGTGGTCCTGCTTGGACGCGGATCCCGGCTGATCTTCGAAGAGGTGGCACCCTTACGAGACGTCGACGAGCGATTCGGCCACGTCTACCTGGAGTCCAACGTGATCACCCCCGTGTTTCCCTGCCAGGGCTGTCCGCACATGCCCTCCGAGGCTATTCCCGAGACCGGGTAAAAATGGGCGGCGGGCGACGTCTTTTGTTCATCCGATGCCATTGTGGACGGCTCTCCAAGTAGAGTGCAGTAGTGGCAGAGTAAAGAAACCTCTTTCGGTTGGATCGGTTATGGTGAAGTGGCCATTGCTGGTGTAAGAACAAAACCAAAAGCTTTAAAGGGATGGTGAACCGAAATTCGGATTTCAGAAAAGACAATGCGGGAGATGTAGGCGGGACGATACAATCTCTACACCACTCGCAAGGCGATATCTTGAATGGACGGCCGTATTTTTGGAAAAAGAGGTCAAGATTGAACCAGGCCGACGAGGCACGTGACGTGAAGATACCTAGTTTCCCCCTCTCTTCGCTTCGGTCCCTCAAGGCCGCGAGGCGCAGAAGACGCGAGACCGTTTCCTCTCCTTCTCAGAGAAACATGACGTGAACATCTCTGTCAAATGCGCCTCCTTTTCTTGAAAACTATGGTCATCCGTTCGAGATATTGCTGTATGAGGGATGTTTTTGTGTTTGTAGCATCCCGTTGCATGCTTTTGCTGCATGTTTTGTGGAATCCAGATTTTGGTTCAGCATCCTCTTAAGAGCCTACAATTCCCTAGAAAGTAACTTATTTTTTTTCGAGCAAAGCCCTAAATGTTGATGACAGAACACCACCCAGTTCATTTTTCCCGATTATTATAAATGTTTCCTAAAAAAAAAAAAAAAAAAAAATGATTGGAATATAGTGGATTGGAACAGAGGAATACAACTCCAGGCTCCAGAAGTCTTGGTGTCTGTTAAATTAAATCACATCAACTATGAGCATCCAAGTTCTCTTTGGATCGAGGTGTTCTCGGCGATCGTCAAAAATGAGGTTCTATGGATACCTGCATTTGAGTAAAGAGTGATTTGAACAGCATATAACTTCTAAAATATTTAGAGTTCTGCGAGCAGCCACTTCTCAGCCCTGTGTCGGCTCAGTCTACGTGCCGAATAAAGCCCGATTTGCAGCCGCAAATATCCTTTCTCGACAATCTGTCCTCTGTAGGTCGTGTAGACCTCCACCCTTGGGTCGTCTCATGTTGGCGTTTCCGATGCAGGCGGCAGCCGGTGCAGTTGGTGTCACGAGGCGTGCCACAGACCAAGCTTGGCAAGCACAGCTTCCAAGCGCAAGTACGGCTTTGTCCCAAGGGCCCCATTCAGAGGATCCTGTTTGGAGGGCTTCACTGGATGCCGCTGCTGCAACGTGGTGAAGTCTACGACATCGTCATGCGGGGCTCGGCGTCACTCTCGGACGTTCTCGACGACGTCCTGGTGTCTGTCAACTCGGATCCCGAAACAATTCAGGTATAAAGCATTTGCGCATTTAATCGGCGAGTTAGTAGCCGCCGTGCAGGACTTTAGTTGGTGGATTTATTGCGAGGGCAGTTCTGCCAAAGCGCAAAGAGTGGATTGCTTGTGCGAGGAGTTTGTCCTGTGTTTCTTACAATTCAACAGACTATATCAGGCTAAGAAGCCAGGAAGTCACATTCTTGTGCAGGGGAATTAGTCCGTTCCTTCATCTCAATAGGTGATGATCACGAGCTTGAACAGTGTCGAGTTACACCATTCACTTTTTAATCTGGGCACTAGAGTTGGTGCATGACGGGCGTTTTAACGACTTCCTCTCATCATTGCAGGCATTCTCGGAGAGCAAACTGCCGGTTCAGGACAGCCCGGCCATGCGTGCGATTGTGATCGAGAAATTCTACCAGGAGGCGCGGCAGAAACAGTGTGAGATGGGCCGCGGCATTGTGCTGCGCAATGTAGTGTATCGAATCGAAAGCATTGCGTCGCAAAGAACATTCTGTCGTCTTCACCTATCTTGCACATACGTATGATCAGAGGACCCATTAGCTGCCGAGGGGATTGGTAGCCGAGTCTGTTAGTTGACCTCTCCGGGGATTTTTTTTTTTTGAGCCAAACTCGACACAATTTCAGAATGCCAAAGCTTTACTCTTCTTGCATGCTATTATCTCTAAATTCAATATAGCTATTGAGAAAATGGCAAATGAAGATGATGGCAAAATCAAATTAAAATATGTCATAGGTTGGAGGTATGCAGACGTCAGTTAACCTTTATCCCATAAAACGGTGCATCTTTTAACACGAAACATTCTTTGGCTGGGCGGTCGGCATTTCATGAAGCCCAGAAGTGAAGCCTGGATAAAAGCGTGGCCGTGATGCTCGACACTGATTGGTTGGCGGGTGAGAGAGGAGGAGTGAGGTGCTTGTAGCCGGTTGGTTAACGGGGAGGCCATTTGACCAGAGGAGCAGGCGAGGAGGAGCTCGACCACCCGTGCACACCGAGTTTGGCATGTGTGGAAAAAAAGCTCGCCAGTGACGCCGTGTCGGTATTTCCAGCGGGTGCCAACACCGACGGCGTGTGTGGCCTCAGCCCGTGCCTGGTGGTGCAGCTCGTCCCCAGTCTGGACTCGGTCACCATCTACCTGAACTGCATGACTGCAGCCGTGGAACTCGTCGGGATCGGCCCCGGTACCTTGGTGCAGCTCGAGGGAATGAGTGTGAACCTGTCGGGACGCTGCAACCGCTACATCTCGGCCAGCCCGGACTCGTCCATCACCGCTCTTTCTTGGGGCGAGGCAAAACATGTCTGCAAGACTAGGTGACGCTCTTTAGCATCTTGATTTTATTTCCTAAGGGGTTATTAAGAAAAGTCGAAGCAGATATTCAAATTTGTTTTTTTCAGACAAGCTATGAAAGGCATATCCGCACATCTCTGGTTAGAGGAAGGTTCAAAGTTCCATTGTCCTTGAGGTTTTTGCACTAAACGTGAGAACCATGGGTTCTGCGACAGATATATAAAAAGCGGTGCTTCATTTCTTGCCACAACCAAATCAACTGGTCCCTAGTTATTGCATTTGCAGCTTAAACAATTCAATGTTTCAGATGTTGAAGAGTAGCAGTCATAGGTGGGACAAACACCCTTTCTTTTGTGTATCGATGGATTCACACATTGCAAACTGCATCTCACAAAACCGCTTTGCCTGTGGCATCGCATTCTACAATAAAGCGCTGCTGTGTAGTATTGAATGAAACTTCTAGGCGGGCTGTTAAAACTTTTAACCTTCCAGTGGTTTCCGTCTTTGACAGTTCGTTTTGGATAAAAATTGAAATCCAGTCCTTCTTTTAGAATAACCTTATATCACTAACTGCATAAAAGGCACTCTAGTGTACCTAGGCTTTTTTGCAGTGGCTGTGAAGTCGGACCCAGATGCAAATGTTGTTTACAGTTCAAGATGCAAAAATGAGTGACAGATCATTTGCGGCTTTGCGGTGATCATTCCACTGTCGCAAGATGTCCTACAGCTGTTTAAATACGAGCCCTTAGGGCTGTGTGCCTCAGGCACACAGCCCTAAGGGCTCGTAATGTTAAAGTTCTACAAGTTTACTGCAATATATAACTTAATTTCTTTTACGGACCTTGTCACCCTACCAATTCCAGAAGCCAGACAGCGGGCACTGGAAATTTCGTTATCGAGTCACGAACGCTGTTTTACCACTTTTATTTGCTCGCATTTCATTTGGGTCTTTCAGTTTCAGAATGCCGCAGAACATGTAGTTTACGAGAGTAGGATATCCGTCACCTAACGCCATAAGTTTACTTTAGTTTGCATCCATTTTCTGCACTGCCTTGAGGCCAGTAGGCAACCTTTAGCAATTTCCCAACGTCGTTACGAAAAGCCGCTCCTCTGCTCTCGTGCATGTGCATTCAATTCAATGTGGTACATGCATTGAGGTAGACCCAGAGCCATATATAGAGAGAGTTTGGCATTTCATTGGGAAGTATAGACGGCGAATGAGGAGGCGCCATTGGCCGAAAGCAGGCTGGGCGTGTTTCAGGGCGCCTTCACAAATTCGAATGTGGCCAACAAGAAGCTGCGAATAATACCCTGGCGGTGGTCGTGAGAAACAAAATTATTAAGTGCATCGGAGTAACTCTCGGCACTGAAAATGAGGTGCACGTTAGTAATTTTCGATCAAGCTCATGCAAAATCATGGGGGAAGATATGCAAATGTATAGAAGATAGAAAAAGCATGCGCGATCGGCATAACGCATCGACTTAATCCGCACGCCAGGTGCCGAGGGCCGGGAATCTGCCGTCCAAGCAAAACAGAGTTTGAGCGGCACATTTATTTCTTGCATATTCTTGCATGATCATAATCGAAACATCACGTGCACTATATTTTAAAGGCACCAAAACTGTTTCTCGCTACCACTGCTAGAGGATTTTTTTCTGGCTCCTGGTTGGCCACGAAAACACGTCAAACCCTCCATCTGCGTCTGGTGCAAACCCTCGCTCTGCCCGCTCCTCCCATTGACCAAACTCTCCCTATACACGGCTCTGGATAGACCGCGCTCGTAAATTGTGTACGGCAGCATGCAACGAACGTAGAGGGTGTAGATACAGTGCCTGGAACGAATCTACGATTCGTGTGTTTACCGCATCCAAGAAACATGGTCCCTCAATTCCCACCCGATAACGTCGTAAAAAAGTCGCGCCGTCGCCAGCCATTCTTTTGGTGGTGTCTCGGCAGCGATGAACGCGACAGACGCTTGACAGTCTGCGGAATTTTCAGCAGCCAGGAGTTGGGACGCCGCGACGATGGCGATTCTCTCGTTTGTTCATACTTTTAGGACCAACCGCCGGCACCCGGGTAGCCATTCGTTGCCACTTCGGGACATCGTTTGACTCACGGGAGGAATGAAATGCCGGATGCACCAGTCCGAGACACGTTCCAGGCACAGTAGAGTAGGCAAGTTAAACAAGCCGACGCCGAGAGCAAGTCGTCTGCTTCTTAAGCAGGGGTTGCGGCGACGTCAGAACGACGCAAGTTCCGATTGGAAAGAGAGTGGGTAGAACAATAAGGTCTTGGCCTTCAGACATCATCACAAGCCCTGTGCAAGAAGCAAACTTGCGCTCCGCATTACAATGCCACTTTCGATCTGGACTCTCGACCAGGCTTGGGGGCAAGTGGCCCTTTCCCGGGGGACCCTGCAACGGCTTGGCCTACGGCGCTCCGAGCGCCTGGCACTGCTGCATCGTCGACAAGATCGAGGTCACGCTCAGTCCCGCGTGTGACCGTTGTGGCCGGCGCAAGACGTGCGCCCCGTCCTGTCGCCCCCTGGGGTCCGTGCCGCGCGCCACGGCCACGGCTCGGCAAGTAGCCCGGTTTGGCCAATCACGGTGCTCGCTGCGAATGTTGCCGATATGCTGAGGGCTGGTTCACTCGCTTGCAACGGCTTGCGGCTTTGTGCCTTTAAACGTCTAAAAATCTCACGAGGGAACGCAGTGGCGCCATCTATTGGGTAGCTGGGGAATACCTGGCATTTCAGTATTTTTTCTTTTTCCCCCAACATTCTTTCTTGGCTTGAAAAACTTTTGACATTATAAATAAAATTCTTTGGTTTTAACATTTTTTTTCTTTTTTTGTAAATTTTGGGGTATTTAATGGTGTTTATTTTTTCTCTTTGAATCTACGACTTTCGGCATCCGGTATTAGTGCCAGAGAGAAATTGGTGTTTATCGGGCTTTTGTTTGTAAAACTAATAAAAGATTATTTTTTTTTTAGGACATTTTAAATTTGGGGTTGTTTGGTTTTCATTGATTTAAAGAAAACCGCCTCGGGGGTTAATTTTCGGTACATTGTCACAGCTGGCTATCGCGACGGAGAATCCGTGAATGAATCGGCAATACGGTGCGCGGTTTTCTATCATCCTCGTCTTCTCAAATATTCGACCTGGAATGTTCGGGAAAAAGCTAGGACGAGACTGACTAGGGATCATTCTGGCCTCCTTATCTTTTCTGCTGGGGGTACAAGCAAATCTTTCAGATGAACGGAGAAGCTATCTTCTCGATCACACACGCACCATTATACCAAAAACACGGAACCCCAATTATAAACGACCATTTCTCGTATATAGTATATATTTGATCTCGCAGATGCCACGAACCTTCACTCTAATGAAATGCGGTTCCAGGGTCACCTCACAGATGGCGCCAGTCTAACTGCGTGATCCATGAGATATCGCAAAAGCCCGATGGTAAGAAAAAGCCAGTGTGGATGGGCCTTGACACGTAGGTTCAGAAACCAGGCTCTTGTGAACTCGGGAGCTCCTCAAGTCTGTCTCAAAAATTTTGTCGGGAAATGTGGTCCATTTTGTGGGGAACTGGAGTTGGAAGTCGGCGAGTGGTTTCTGAAGGAGGGCATGGAAAAGGCGTAGGGTTTGTGATGGCCGGCCGACCTCAGGGTGGCACGAATGTTGTTTAATGTTCTGCGTTATCAAACTGGAAACCCCACCTTTCGGTGTCAGTAACAGAAAATATTGACCGGGCTATACAATTCGACTTTCCCCGGACTATCTTTAAAAGTCCCGACATGTCTTCAAAAGACTGGTACTATATACATTTTCTCCGTATAAGCAGCTCTGCTAAATAACGCATCTATTTTTTATTTTCATTGCTTAACTGAGCTGCCAGCACACAAAATTCTCTGGTATTCAGGCAGGTCGTAGAAAAACGTATTGACCCCCGCGTCGGCAAAATCGGTTTTGTACTGCGGGTTGGCAATCGGCCAATGGTAACTGGTATTGTCACGATCCGCCGTTGCCACCAAAACAGATATATGTGGCACGACGACCATAGGAAAAAAACTGCTCGTAAACAATGCATTTCATAGCCTTCACCCGCACCGTGCCAAAAGTAACCGAACGGGACGAATCGGCCAAATGGCAGTAGGGCCGATCTCTAAATGTAGGCCAATCCCAGGTTTCGAGCCAACTCCTGGGGCCAGTGCGTGGCCGTGTGTCACGGGGACCAGGTCCGCAAGCTCCTGCGTCTTCCCGAGTCGCTATGGACGTCCTTGCTTCAAAAAGTCTTTCGGTCGGGGGAACCGTGCCAGTTTGGGTCCAAGAAGGCAAGTTGTCCGCCATAAATGCCAGATGTTTTGTTTTTGTAAGTCACTTCAGACGTCTACGACACGTTTCGAGCGCCCTGCATTTTAATACAAAATGATTTGTATTAAAAAAAAACAAAAAAACATTGAAGGTGGTGCGGTGAAAGTTTTCACAAAGGATCTCAAAAAAAGCTTTTGTTTTTACTTTATGTTGTGCCATCTGTGACGAGCAGTGTAAACCAGACGCTTTTTTTTTTTTTTTCGTTTTCCTCCTTATGCTTACAACCAAAAAGCAGGATTTTTTAATATTTGTTTTTCTAAATACCTATACATAAAAGAGACCTTTGCTAAATGTTTGCATAATTGCACGCGATCCATTAATTTATTCGTAGAAATTTTTTATGCCGGAGTAACACTTGGAAAGACCCTGTAAATACGTTGCACCACTTGTAATAGATTACAGAGCCGATCCACTATGCCCTTCTAGCCCAGCCTACCTGCATTCCCTTTTCGCGAAGGAGGGCAAAACGTATCGTGCCTGCGAATTGCTACATATTATAACAAGTATTATACACCACTAGGAAAGCCTACAATATGGAGAGTTGCTTGTATGCAATGTTGGGGTTTTAGAAGTTCTTCCGCAATGAGCTGAAAACATTGATCTCCAGTAACCTGGAGTCGCGGGTTTCCCCTTCTTTTTTAGGGTGTAAATCTGCAGCAAGTTGCGAAAACCAAGTCTTTTTGCCAATAGCGAATGGGCCTGTAGCCTCGATATTTCCCTCATACTGTTTCTACGTTAGCCTTGCAAAGAAAGCCCCAGGTCCCAACAACTGTCCTGCAATGGACCCTCATTGCTCGGACACTTCCAAAAGTTGGACCGTCCAAGTGAGCAACAGCGTGTTAGTTGGGGGACACTTCGTCGTGTTGTCGAGACGCGTGCAAGTTTACTGCTTCGCGATTGTAATACAAACTCCATCTTTGGGCCAACAGAATCCGGCGGGAACCCTCGCACACCGCCCTGTGCCTAAGCGTCTGTTAGAAGAGGCGCTGGACAAATGGTGCAAACGCCCCGCACTCGTGCGGTGCGTTGGCCTCGCCTGCACCGAGTACCGAACGAAGGGTAAGCTCCGCTATTTTCGTGCACATGCATTCTTTTTATGCCCGCTCCATTCACGACAGATTTGGCAATAGTTTGTACACTCCAAACAGCTTCGCTAAAAACCGAGTCAATCTCACTCCAAAACAAATTTTTCTTTTTTTATCCTTTCGGAACGATTATAGTGAGGAGCCACATTGATCCTGGCACAATACTAATCGTTTAGATCCGTTTCAAAAGAGCACGACACTGCCTTCGGGGAGATGCAATGCGGGTTACGCTAAACACATCTTTTTCTCCCAGCAATATGCCCACTCAAATTAAAAAGAAACAATCTTGGCCAGTCTCCAAAAATAAAATTCTTGGCCTTCGCTCAGAGCTGCTGGCTGGTGTCAATGCCTGTGTGGCAGTATGTAAAATTATAGCTGTAAGCAAGCAATTTCAACCGACCATATCATTTCTTGTAAGGACATATGCAAAGGAAAAAAATCTTTTTTTTTTTTAAACAGCCTAGATGGAAAAGGATGTCGTAGAACAAACTTGCAACGGAAAAAAAAACCAACAAGACTTTTAGAGCTATTTACGGCGAAAAACGTATTTGTAGCTGGCACGAGCAAGACCCCGTGAAAAAGTGCTTGCTCTCTTTCAGGTGCTTTTTACGGTCTTATTAATCTTTGTTTAAAGTGCAACAAAAAAACTAAGATTAATAAGTAACTTTTAGAGCCCACAGGAAGCTCCCAAAAGAGTGCAAGCACCACGTGATAGACCTGTGCGCCGGTCAGAAATCGTGGCCGGTGTATTTCCTTCCGGCGGTTCCGGCGCACTTCTGGCGGCGGCAGCGCACAGGTCTAGCGGCGACTTTTGCGGCCGCCAACTACAAGTTTGTTTCACACCGTAGATATGTCCTTTAAAATAACATACTGTTTGAACAAGGCCATTTCTAAAAAAAAATAAACTGCATAATTTTTTTTTAAATTTTATTCTTGATTGTAACAATTGACCAAAGAAAAATAAAAGGTGCGGTCGTAAGTAGCAAAGCTGTAAGAACGGTAGAAATCAATATGTTTTGTCCGACGCCATTTCCGGCTCAGGTTTCACGAAGAGGCAAAGCCAAACCGCGTCTGCGGAGTTGAAACCACAGCGCCACCTACAAGTGTCCGACATACAAGAGGCAAATCCCGGCTTAGTCAAGCTCCAGTTGTCTCGCTGTCAGAGCTACGGCTCGGACAAGAATCAATCCAGCTAGCCATTCCACAATCGTTCAACAGCACAAGACGAGCGAAATCGCCAGAATGAGCAACGAAATATGTGTAAAATAAAGCTATCTGTTTTTTCAGTTTTCACCCGCTTATACAAGTGCAGTTTTGCAAAGAGTCGGCTGTAGTTTTTACCATACTACCGTGCCTCGAACAAGTCTTTGAGAGGCATGTTTGGCGTCCTGTCCCGCCCGTGCAGCGAGTGGTCTCTCGAAGTGGCAACAAACTGCGTCACAGGAGCTGCTTGGCAGTCGGATGTCGCATTCTTGTAGGTTTGTTCTAAAAATGCTGGCGAAAAAAGGCGAGCAGACGCTGGGGTCGCTGTTGCTGCGGCATCCCATCTTACGTCTGCTTTGCTTTCGGGCAGTGCTTTGGGTCAATCAGTGTCAAAGCACTAGCAAGAACTAGTAAGGTTCAATCAGTGTCGAAGCACTAGCAGGCCCAATCACCTCACCCAGTAGGACAAACCAAGGGAACCAAAACTCCCCTTCTTTTTATTACGACCAACACCCTAACATTCTTCGGTGCACTTACGCTACGATCAAACACACCCTGTCTTCTTTTTTCCTGCCCGGAGTCCCCTCAAGCTTTGGAGAAACGAAGATTCTCAAAACTCTTGTCAAGAACAACAGCCTCTCGGGGTCATGTGGATGCTGAATGCGGTGGGTTAGTATGCCACCACATAGGATTTTCATGGCACTGACATTAGTCTTGTGATTGTCAGTCACTAGACGAAGGACACGGAATCGTGTCTTCTCGACTTCTTCTATTACAAACAGCAGGAGCTTGCTCAGCTGACTTCCATTGAGATCTTTCGTGAAAAAGTACGAGACAGGAATCCGGAAGGAAGTTGAGAGTCCATTGAGCACGAAACACAGCAATGAGTTGGCAAGTGACGGCTCGGTGTTTGGGTTATCGGCATAACCCACGTCCGTGTGCCCGACAAAGGAGTCTTGCTGCTTGTTGTACTGTAGCCTTTGTTTTATGCGCATCTCGTCGGCAATTGGTGAACAAACTCTCGACTGGGAAGCTGGCAGGTGCTCGAGCTCAGTCTTCAAATGTTCTTCGATCAAGCTGTTGAAGCCTGTCTCTCCACTCGTTGTCCCAAGATAGTTTTGCAGGGTGTCCCTGCTTGGTAGCTTCAGCAATCCTTCTGATCTTAAGTGCTCGTACATCCTCGTGGAAAGGTGTCTGAGCACAATGGGGTGACGAAGTGTATCTTCGGACCAACTAGGCTTTTGCCGTCTGAAGTTCGAAACCTGCTCCAGAAGAAATATTGCTGGTTGATATTTTTCGTTGGTCACCAAACGAGTCTCCTCTTTAAATTCAAATTTCCCGCCTCTTCAAGCACTACTTTCTGCACGCTCCGTGAGATGGCGCTACTGGTCGAGCCAAAGTCAGAGAGCCAAAGCATAGAGTAATATAGTAAACGCAGAGCCGTATATGTAGAGAGTTTGGCCATTCGTTGGGAAGTATAGGAGACAAATGAGGAGGCGCCATTGGCCGAAAGCGGGCTGGGCCGCTAGGGGATTCTTTTCGGCTTCTGGTTTGTCAAGAGAGCATGCCAAGCCCTCTTTGCGAGTCGTGACGCACGCCCTGGCTCTGCCCGCGCCTCCCATTGACCAAACTCTCTGTATACAGGGCTCTGAGTAAACGTAAAGAGAGGACACCACTGATTTCTATTATAGTAGGCTGGATCGCGGACCGCGGCCTCGGCGGCTGGGGCCGAGTGTCGCCACCGGCGGCCATTGATTGACACCAGCCAATGCATGGGACTCTATGGGAAGAACGAGAAAAGTGCCGTTTCCTCCATTTCTAAGCCGTTGTAGGCACTGAAACTTTTTGGATGCTTTTCGATAAGCCCGTCAAATCGCTTGCGTACAAACACTAAAACTGACAGCCCTCGCAGTTCTTATAAATAAATATTTTGTGGTCGAGAGTGACTCCGATGTAATGCAGCTCAATGAGGCGAGAGTTACCTCCAGTGTGAATGAGCAGTAACTGCTGTTACGCGGCACCACAGTTAACGCACTATACACAAACTCACCTCTATTACGTCACGGCGCGGTGGTGGCACGTCGGTCGCACTTCCGGTCTGGAGCTGTGGGCAGAAGTCCCCATGCCAGACGTGTATTCCTGTGTTGTTTTGAAAGGAACCAGACAAAAACCTGCCTTCTCGTCGAAACGCCGTGACTGGGGCCGTACCAAAAGTGTCGAGAAAGGTTTGAAGGTCAGTTTTCACGTGCTCGGTTCGTCCGAGAATATGGATATGTGCCGTGAAAAGGGAAAAGCAAACGCCGTCGGACAACGATTGCTTGGGCGGGAAGCACTTTGGGTTGAATTCACGGATACTTGTGGTCATCAGATTTATTTGTTTTGTTCCAACATGAACGCCAGAAAACCGTCAAGTTGTGCGGACCACCTGCGGACTACGTTCAGTGAGTCTTCAAGTTCAAACGGCCACTTGATCGTTCGAATTGTCGTCTGCTCTTTCAAACGTTTCTGCTTGTCGTCTGCTCTCTTAGACGACGCCGGTCCGTAGACCAAACCTTGGCCCGGTACTTGCGATAAGAAGGAAGTGCACGCCTCAAAATACTTAAATTTGAAGGTTGGTAAGCAGGCTCGATGTAAATAGCAGATACAAGGATATGTTGATCATTGTTACCAGTGACCATCACCGACTTGCTAGGCCTGATTCGCATGGTCCGATTCTGCTTTAGATTTTCAATACCGACGTCGACCATCTCAGCTACGGTTCAAGCTTTTGCAGCCCGAGCGACGTTGCGACTGAAAATTGCGAGCGAAATCTCATTATGCGAATCAGGCTTTAACGCACATTCTGCGGCGTCCACGCGGAATGAATTGCCGCATGTCACATTATTAACGCGAAGTTTTGCGGTATAACGAGTCTTGTTAATTTCGCTGAGGCCGCTCAAGTACTCGGACATTGCCTAGGAAGACGTAGAATCAACAATTCGAACGCGAAAAGGGGCAGGGGGACTCACACAGACGCCGATAACATCGCATTTCAATGGTTTGTTTATGGGCGACGGCGAGCTTCTTGCGCGGCGCCGGTGGCGTCCGCTAGGGGCGCTCCGGTTTGTTTGTAGACATGAGTTGGTGTATACTCTCGGACAGCTATCTCGGAAGAAGTGAAGAGCGCGCGTGCACTGCTTTGATGAGTGCTCAAGATGCTCAAGCGCACGTTTGCCCCTGCAGAGTTGCAGAATGTTGTCTGCAAGTATGGTGCGCTAACTGTGGCTTAGCGTAACTGCAGTTAAGTGTGCCCGTGTAACACGGGCATAAGGGGTTTTCCATGACGCTCGGGAAGTTTACAATGGGAACAATATGCCTACTTTCAGTAATTAAAAAGTAAATGCGCAAGTTTTAGTTAATTATTCGAGTTATCGTGACGAGCAGCCGGCTATATTATGTCCCCCGGGCAGTATAAATCACCTGCACAAACCGCATTAATGTAGCTTTCGCGGTTTTTTTTTTTTTTTTAAACAAATATGTCATGCTTAAAAATAAACGCATCAAACCGCTAACGTGTGCTCGAAACTGAGCTCCTGGTTCAACCAAACAGTCGAAAAGATTTGCTCTTAAATTTCGTTTTTGAAATCTATAGTCGGGCGTCGTGACGCTTGTTCACAGTTGCAAAAATGCAAAATCCGTTTTTATTTTTTCTTATACGGTAAGAAGGGCACGTTGAGAACTAACCTGGAAGTACGACTTCGAGCCATCTGCAAAGCCGGTTTTTTATATGCAGCCTGCTTGATTATTTACTTTCGAAACAAAAAGGCATTTACATACCTTTGTATATTACCGTGGTTCATTAATAATGACCCTAGGTTTCTAAAAAAGAAGGCTTATCAAAATTCGATAAACTCTGATAAATGACACAAACTAGGCAATGAAACAATTTATCACTTTCAAATATGAATGACTTTATTATTTGCCGTCTGCTTCTTAAGCAAACTGAATTTCGAAGGGAAAACATGTCGTTTGTCGTCCATAATGTTTGGACGCGTACATTCCAAAGTGTATTGAGCAGCCTTCACCCGTGAAGCACAAATGGTGTTCAAGACGCATGTGGCTGGTTACAAACTATCGTTGAACGAAACGAAGTTTCTGTTCCTTGGGCATCAGGATGAAGACGGTTTGAGGGTCTAAGCTGATGTCCTCTCCATGGTCGGGTAGAACTCGGAACTTCTGCAGAAGACTCGTGACGTACAGAAATATCTGCGTGTTAGCCAGAAGTTCACCGGGGCAGTTGCGCTTTCCTGCACAAGAAAATACGCCGACTGGCCTCGTCACGCTGACAAAAACCAGGGAGCACAGAATATATGCGAAGCGCAAGTTCGTCTGCTTCTTTTCCCGGGGTGTGGTGACGTCATAAAGACGTCGAGCTCTGATTTGTTCTGATTAAAGAATGGTGGGTAGACCTCAAAGCAAGCGGCTTTAAGGTCTACCCACTACCCTTCAGTCAGAACCAATCGGAGCTCGACGTTCTGACGTCAACAGAATCGCTGCAAAAGAAGCAGACCAACTTGCGCTCCGCATTGTGAACGAGTGCGGCACATGCTATAGGTGTGTGGCACGTTAGTTGTCCTCAACGTTACTAGAACCACTCAATTGGGAAAGTGGCTCCGATCCGTACTCGAGAATGGAGCTAATGGCGATCGCAACGCCGCCATTTTTCCGACAGCGTCCACTCCGGGAACTGCACGGCTGCACGTCGAGTCGGGCAAGGGCCGGTGGCGCCATCTCGCGGGGCCATCTCGCAGTAGCTATGTAAAACAACTTTAATGTTTCAACTCGTCGCTAAAGGGTGGCGCTGTTACCGTATTTAGCTCGATCTTGGTGGACGCCAGCGGCCCAGGTTTCCAGGGTGAGTTTCCCAACTGAAGGTTTTAGTAACGTTGGTTGTCCTTGTGAGGTCACATGACTGTGACGTCACACGACGTCGGTGTGTCACGTGACGTCACATTGTCTCATGATATCATAACGGCATGTGATATGCCACAGTCGCACTACCTCATAGCGCCGCAAGACATCCGGGTGGGATTTGACAACGTCGCATGATATTATAAGGTCACGTGATGTCACTGTAGGTTGTGACATCACGTGTCGTCATGGTGTTGTGTGACGTCATATCACGTGACAACCTGATATCGCGTGTCATTGTGACGCCACAGTCACGAGATTTCACGTAACGTCACACGAGTCTGACATCGCGGTGTCACGCGATGTCACAATTTCCCGTGGCGTCAGCGACTTCACGGTGTCGCGGGACTTCATGGGTGTTCCATGACGTTGTGACGCCACGTGATATCACTGTCCTTCGCGACGGTTTACTCGTATATTTCTGCCAATAAAACACATTCTGTGTTACAACAGTCAAAAATGAGTTTAGAGCAACGAGGGGCTTAGAGCGGTAAACTGGTATGCCGTTCCCCAGACAAAAGTGACCCCCCCCCCCCCCTCCTTGGCTGCCGCCAAGTTGTACAGTTTTGACCACTAGACACGTGACCGTACCAAATCCTAAGGATTTTATGCCAATTACTGAGCCAAGATTTATATTGTGATCGCTGTAAAAAACATGATAAACTATTTTTTCAATGGTGTTAGCCCCAGAGATCATTGTTTAGCTCCGATAAAAACCCGAAATACAGCACCGCGGCTGACGGCATCTAGCGGAGCCATTGCGAAGCTGCCTGAGTTTTCTCGTAGGACTTAAAACGAACGAAACATAACTTATCATCTCGTCAGTACTGTTATTAAAGATCAATTAGCAATTATTTGTGCGCGGTACTTCGTTAAAATGTGGGAGACGTTAAACTATAAGGTCACGTGTCTAGTGGTGGAAAATGTGCAACATGGCGGCGACCGGGTGGGGGTCCCTTTCAGCTGCCAGTTTATCGCTCTAGGGCCCTCTACCTCGTTCGTTTAGAGACATAAAATGCCCGCGGAGGTGCTTGGTGGTCTACGTTCCTTGCTCTTTGTTTCTTTGCCAGAGCTACAGAAAACCTGGCCTCCTGCACGTCCCTCAAGGTCGGACGAAAGATAAATGTTGGTTGCCCGAAGACAGGATAGCGAATGGCAATGGCGACAGTCACGACCTCTGGCCTATTCAGAATGAAACTTGAGCGATTCGCAAGAAAAGGTTGGGTGCGTAAGGAAGCAGCGGGATCATCTGTCCACTTTTCGACTGCACTAACTCTGCAACACTCGAACCCGTTACGTAATAGGAGCGAATACCAGCTACAAAACAAGGGCTGCGCCTTTCCCCCAAAACGTCATCGCTGGAGGATTCAGCCCTACCCCCATCGCGTCGTGCAGCGTCTCCCAGCGAAGGCGACGTTGGCAAGTGGTGACGCCAAGACGGACGCTTCTCAACCCTCGTTGAGATTCAGCGTGGTTGCCGCTTGGGGCTGGATCCTCTCGCGATGACGTCAAGTTCTGGTCTTCTCTTCTAGATGGTGCCGCATAACACCAAAAAGAACAAAAAAAAATTCAAAAAAATGCGGAATTTGTATTGTCATGAGAATGAGGAGGTGTGCAGGGAGTGGAACTGGGAGCTCACACCAGAGAAACTGTTCGAGGGATTCGAAGCATGATCATCTAGTTTCGATCTGTAATTTATTTCGAAATACCACAACGTTTACGAGGTTATAGCTGGGGCACGAAACAATATCGTCCTCGATACAAAGGCGAGGTTGATGAGACCTCTGTATAAGAACGCAATTTCAATAGCCTCGGTACCATGACTGGGAAATACAGATACAATTACAGCGAATAATTCGAACAACGGTGGAGTCCCGTGGATGGACCTTCTCTAAATAACCAGTGGGGCTGGGTGACTGTTCGATCAACCTTCCGATGAATCGACGAATGCTTTCAAGTAGTCGGTGGGAACGACCCTTTGCTACACGCCGAAACCAAGTGCAACCAAGGGAGCGGGACGTCTGCTGCGAATGGTCAGCTCCGAGCCGCTGACCAATTGCAGCAGACTGCGTTGTCCCGCTTGGTCCCGCCGCGTAGCCCCTCGTGGCCAGGGGAGGGACATCAGCGTTGCAGAAGCCGAGTTGACGCTGAACCCTAACGCGATTTTCGTGTGAAGTACATGCTCCAAGTAGCTCATCAAACTGTCACATGCCCGGATAATTGGCGCAGCAGCAGCGAAATTGTGCGCACTTTTGAAAAGGCTCTGTTGCGAAGCGCCATACGCACACAAGAATGCGCGTCTTCTCTCGGGTCCTCTAGCAAAAGACAGCAGCAGCGAAGTTTTCTAACCACGCACATCATACCGTAATTACGCGGGCACACTGAACTGCAGTACCACTGTTATCACCTCCTGTTGGACAACCTGCTGTGGCTCAACAGCTAAAGTCATGGGCACTAGCGCATCTTCAGGGCCCATCAAAGCTGCACACTTTTCACTTTTTCTCGAATAGCTGTCCGAACTGTGGTAAAACCTGACTGCAGTTAAAGGGTACTTAACTGCGGTTAAGGGTACCCTTGGAACTAGGCTGTTAAACTCCGTCCACCCCTGAGCTGAGACTGCGGTGGAGCGTCCTCGTTGAACCAGTCGTACGCTTCTCTCTGGTCACGTGATCACGCTCCCGCCCATACCGACGCGTAGAGAGTCGGGTCAGGTGACAAGAATGAGGCGGCTGATTGGTCCGGCGCCCACCTAGCTTCCACCGCGGTCTCAGCTTAGGGGGGAACGAGGTAGAGTCGTTTACACATTCCCGCTCATCCCCGCATTCAAAAGATGATGAGTGATGATAATTGTAAAATTTTATTAGGTTGAACGGCCCCCAAGCATAGTACTCGATCGTTTGATCCTGCAATGTGTAAAAAAAAACCTCCGCAAACGGCCAGGCATTTTTTTTTTTGTTGCTTCGTTGCAATAAAGTTGAACGTGATTCACGTTCGATCAAAGAGAGTGGTGCCAGCGTTTCTGTTGCCTTAGTCCCGAACGTCTATGAGCGATGATTTGGAGTTTACCGAGAGAAAATTGGAGAATGTGCTCTGGTGCGGTCAGAGTTGCGTCTTGTCCATTGACCAGGAATCGTTTGGAGTCAAACACTTCGGGGTCCTTCCATAGCTTGGGATCCGTGTGGACCGCCCAGAAATTTGTAAAAACCGCCGTTCCTTCGGGAATGGTTACTCCCTTGACGTCCGTGTCACATACTGCCCTGCGAAAAAAAAAAGAAAGACAACAGAATTAGAAGCTACCCATTGCTTACAAACCAGACCGCCACACCAGGTGTGGGCACAGTGCGAGTGCAGAGACCAGATTCGCGTGGGGTGAAGCTTCTGCGCATGCGCCGTGGTGACAACAGCGCCACCGCTGAGGCGTGACGTCAGAGCTGCCTGTTGGTCTATAGACCCTAAGCTCTGCTTCACGAACTTGCGACTGCTTATACGACTATACGCCTTAAAAACTCTCAGAACCTCTTACGACGCTGGAATGGAACACACTGTCGACATCTATCGGGCAGCCGTTGGACACTTTAAATTTCCGCATACTTTTGTTTTTGTTTTTGTGTGTCTGTGTGTGTTTTTTTTGGCGCATCACTTTTTTTTTTTTGACCGTGAAATTTTGGACAGTGCTACATACGACCATTTTACATAGATAGTGCATAAATTTGATGGCGGAAATACTGGAAAACCTTCGCCACCGTGACCTATGCTGTAGTGAAATGCATTTCCAGGGTCATCTCATTGATGGCTCCAGCGTCGCGTGTGTTTTCGCGTCGTCAGAAATCACAAGAACGCTATCGGAGGCAAACGCGAGTGTGTGAACGGGCTTCAAGTGGATGCGGCGTGTCAGCAAAGCCGACACATGGATGTCAATAATTACTGCAGGAGGGACAAATGTGGACCTAAATAAAAGTGTCTTCAAGCGGAAGATTTGGTGTACACCTTTGACCCCCCCTCCCCCTAAAAAAGAAGAAGAAAGAAAAGAAAAGCGTTTATAATGCGATTTGTTTGTAATAGTGAGGCAAAAATGCATGTAGTTACCCAGTGCTTCCTCGGAAACACTGCTTATACATATAGCGGGATTAAACGGGGTCCGTGTTGTAGCGAAACATCTGCGTTCTCTGAATACCTGGGTTTTACGTTTCTGGGCAGGCTTTTCAGTATGCTATATTGAGAATAGCTACCTAGGAAACGCCAGGTGAAGGCGATACCAAAATTAATAAAAAAAATAATAACTCGGGGAAACTATTTTGACGTAGCACGTGTGGCCACCAGGTTTCGGAACGGCCAGCCTTAGTCGGTGACTGGTTAAGAATGAAGTGGAAGCTCCTCCCACCCCTTTTCATTTTAACAGAGTGAACGCTGGAGAGGAGGTCGCCTCCTCTCCATTGTTTGCTTTGTTAAAGTGGAAAGAGCTAGGACAAGCTTCCACTTTACTCTCACCCACTATAACCACATCACACACTCGGCCATGCGAGCATATCAGTTATTAGTTTGGCCATACCTATTGGTGGCTAAAGTGAATTTCGAGGCAAATCAACGACTATAAAAGAAACAAAAAAACTGTGGAGTATGGTTTTTGTTTATAGTGCAATGATTTTGTTATACTGCCGATATAATCTGGCGTTAAACGAATGCAGTTTCTCACAATCGGGGTGTTCCGAGGGGAAGGATGAGTCTCCAGCGATGCATCTCCCACATGACGGACATGGTCAAGGGCATGCGGTGGCGGTCGTCCCAGCTGGGTTGGCGGTCCCGCCCAACCACCAGGTCAATCTCTTTCTGCACCTCCGCCTGCAGAGTGTCTGGATGCTTGGCGAAGTTGAGCATGTGCCAGTAGATGCTCACCATCACCGGGTTCGATCCTCCGGCAATAAGGTCAAGTACAGAATGAAGTAGATGATGTTCTAGGGAGGAGACCAACGGTTGAGTGCGGTTAGAAAGGCGTCGGGTTGACATCACACCACTGACGCCACACTGGCCTGGTCGTATTGAGGCAGCGCGCTTTAGGTCTCGTCCGCTAAAAAAATAGCTACACACGTTTGGGTTTCTCGAGGTGTGTAGAGAGCTTGAATTCAAGCAAATTAAATAAATCGAAATATAAAAAAAAAAACAAAAAAAATGTACTAAGCTAAACACTTGAGTTTACGATTGCTTGTGATAACGATTATTTTTTTCCTTTCTATTTTTTGTGGTGCTTAGAGTGATGTCCATCACTTACTCGTAAAGCTTGAGGTGGGGTCATGTTCTTGAGCCTTCATCTTGAGAAAGTACTCATCAATGAAGTCACACACGGAGCTTTCACTGAAGTGAGTTTCGTGATCATCAATCTGCAGGCTTGAGAAACATACTATAGTTAGGGCATGCTTTCGTTAGAATGAATCGATTGGCGATCGCCTATGTGGCTTACTCGAGGAAGCAGAACTTGCGCATTGCATACTATAGAGCCGTGCTGAATGTTAGTTAATACAAAAGAGCAAAGCCAATGTCCAAATTGCCAATAAACTGGCTTTTGAAACAAAACGTTTTGTATTTTATTTGTGTGTATCGGTAAAACGTGTTGTTTTCTTATTTTGTTAAAGTTAAGATCAATGTTTTAGTTCAGTGGTTCTCAAATGGGGGTCCGCGGACCCTTTGGGGTCCGCGAAGGCATTCTATAGGTACGCGAAGCCCTGCCTCATCAGTCAAGCCCGGAAATAAAAGTTGTCTTTTTCCAGATCGAGAAGAAACGTTCCAATATTCGGGAATGTTTTCTCGTGTATACTATGCCAATAAGAGAAGTTTACCTCACACTGGCCCTTAGTTATATCAATTTATTAAATAACTATCATAATTAACCTTCCCCCCACCACGAACGGGGTCCTCCATCATATCCGCCGATCCACAAGAGGTCCGCGAAATATCAATGGCTGAGAACCACTGTTAGCGATTTATTAATTGATTATTTTTCACTATTCTCAGGGCTGCGGGAGTTAGTAGTATGAGGCGGTTATATAGGTAAAAAAAAAAAAAAAAGAAATGGCAAAGCACAAGAAACTTCTATTGCGGTTATTATGGTTCATTAGAACGATACAGGTGAAGCATATCGGTTAGGAAACGGTTGGGAGTCAAGAATTTCAGATTTTTTGGCGCTGAAAAGTGATTCCAATTCAGTGACGTGCTTGTATGGAATAAGACGCATTTGTGCTGCAATGCGGAATCCCAGCTCTGTGGCCATGTTTGATGCGCGCCTTTTTCGGAAATCGTTCATTGGTTGTCGCCATTTCTTGTCCCCGAAGCGTGTGATTGAATTCGAGTTCTGGCAGAACGCCGACGCGGTCCGCCTGTCCAATACGTGCTTATACACTGATATCTGGATAATATGGCCGCTTCTTGTGGCGATCTGCCAGGCTTTGTTAGTATATAGGAGGCTATGACCGTGCCCAAAGCACCGGTGGAATCGAAGAATTGTCGCAGCGGGTACAAGAACTGCAATGATATATTTTATAAAACAAGCTCAAACGAGACACTTTTCTTTTTTAGGAAAGGTTAGCTAACGATGGACCGTTTTTCTTTTTATTACCGTTGCACTGGCGGTAAGGTGATAAAAGAAAAAGAGTATTTCAAGCGTGATGAACAATTGTGAACGGTATACCACATCTGATATTAATGATTCAAGACCGAAGTCCTGGACTGATCGGCAAAAGTTTTCCGACAATGGACCCCGATAAGTTATAGCAACGAAGCGAGATTACTGCATCCATTGCTGAAGTTGCTGCGGGGCGCCATGTGGTCGTGGTTTATGCGCTTATTGCGAAAGGTCCCATTTATCGAATTTTATGTCTTATTAAACTTTAAACGCTGGCTGCAGTTTGGATACAGTATGGAAACAAATAAACATAAACGCAAATTGTAGATTTGAATTACGCTAATTTATACAACTCAGTGGGGAAGTACTGTACATCTGGAATGACACTGCAGTGACGTGATTGCTGCCCCATTCGTGCCAAACTGCACCAAAGTGCTTACCCTTATACACTCTGCTACATTTGACCAAATTTGCGCCCACATTGTGCCAGAACTTATGTTCACTTGAATAGTACAGAAAATATAACAGCTCCAGGCCTCGCTACCGGGCCGGATCGTTAGGGTAAGCTCACGCGGGTTGTCGGGGCTTTCGATAATTGCCTCAAATAACGTACTATTCGATTTGATTTCGCACCAAGCACCGACAGTACTCGGAAGTTTCGCAATAAGTCTCGTGCTCTTCTCTGGTGGGTTAGTTAGCTTTGTTGAGTGCGCTTCTCAGTGCACACTGGTGTACTGCAGTGAAGCGTCAATTCCGAACTAGGCATCGAGATGTTACGCGTCTTGTTTCGCCGCAGCGCACCCGCGTGCTGAGGGGAAAGGTACTCCTCCAGAGCGAGACGTGGTGCAAAAAAGGTATATATGGACTCTTGTAGATTTATTTCTTATGCTTTTTTTTTTGTCTGAATTAAGCATTGCAGTTTTGTTACAACCCCCCTTAGAACTTGAAGGACACATAAATCTAGGTGCTCAAAATGATTGTATTTCAACATTTGTTCAATAGGGTCTCGTGCCTAAAATAATCATTCGCGGCAGTTTGCGCTGTCCTTCACCAGTCGTCGTCTTGTTACCGTGTCTGGTACTTCCACATGCAACTAAACAGCTAGCGTTTGTTCTCCTCCTAGTATCTGCCGTCTCTCCTCCTCACCCATTTGCAGTGATATAAATGAAAATGAAGCGTGCGGTTATGCTCCAAAAGCTCTTTTTGCTTCTCCAAAATGAACTTTTGGCTGCTCCTATTGCTGCTCCAAAATGACTACGACCAATCATATCACTGCACTGGAACAAAAGAACCTTCCAGCAAAATCCACTTTTACGGCGCTGTCCGCGAAAAGTAAGCAAACTGATTTTAACGGCTCCACCTAGAAAAATAAAAACAATACATATATAAAATTTTTAAAAAATGGGCCCAACTTTTTAGAAAGTTGTGTTGACGGGCTATAAGTATACAAAGAACTAACATGTAGAACATGTATATTTTACTCCGAACCGCAGTGTCCCTTCATACGATGCTGCGGGAAATTCAAATCTGTTCGGGGAGCCCGACGAAGGGACGTGTAACCCTACTTTACCATTGGTTTAATAAAACAGCAATGATAACTGAGCGGTTTTCAACATCTCCTGACTGTCACACCACGTCCAAATGAACCTTTTTACAATAAAGACAACACCGAGCGGTGGAAGCTGGAAGTGCGGTTGGCGTCCAAAAGAGGAGCTGCGCTACCTCTCCGGTCTCCGTCCATCCCACTTTGGGCTTTGGCCGTTGCATGAGGAGGGCCAGCGCATGCGCCGAGCCCTTCTCGGTCTATGGCAGTAGCAAGGAGAAGGGGCCGCAAGGTTACGCTCTCCCGTGTTGAGCCGCTCTTTCTCTAGGGTTCTCTAGTAGGCTCCCTCCTGGGGACACCGATCTCTCAAAATCCACCATTTACTTTTTCTCTTTATCTATTTCGTAAATGTAATTAAATTGCGTAATAACTTCGCTTCAAAAGCCGTTAATTGCAACTGACTTCAGTGGTGCCAGTTCGACAGCAGTTTTCTGCATTGAGACGTATTTGTTCATTCTTTTCTCTGAACGTTGAAACCCGGAGACTGCGAGCGTCAAGCGTTCCAACTACGCAAAAGCTGTCGGCGCCGAGGTCATTGGATTTTCACGGAGAAGGATGCATTCCATGTACTCTGTTGTAGGGTTAAGAAACCCGGGACAAGGTCACCCCGGAAAGCCTTCACTCTTTCCACTTTAGCAGAACGAACACTGGAGAGGAAGCTCTCTCCTCCTCTTTAGCGTTCGCTCTCCTAAAGTGGAAAGAGCTTTGCGGGAGGAGCTTGTCGCTTTTAGTAACCTGCAGCGGGGTATCAGCCAGCGCACTGATTAGAAACAAGCCCAATTAGGCCGCACCGTGCGCGTGCGCACAAACCAAATTCGCTTCAAGAGAACTGTCTGCGCATGCGCATTGCCGACAGTAGCGCCACCGCAGTCGCCTGACGTCATAGACTCGAGTTGGTCTATACGGTAAAGTATGTGACAGAAGTGTCTCTAGGTTTCGCAGAATGATGGCGAGATGGAGCTATACCTGCAAAAGCCTCTGAGTTGAGAGATGATGCGCTTAATCCTTCCGGCCCTTGTGAAAGGTAGCATTGCTAACGCCTTGTCCAGCAAGGGAGGCAGAACGCTGAAGTTGGGACCCTGGGCGAGGGCATCCAAACCCGTCCGCAACAGGAGGTTCAGAGCTGTGCGCCTGGGGTCCTCGGGCCCAAAAGCAGTGCCGAACAGCATCGACCCTATGTTGTTGGCCACGCTCGGCCAGACGTGGTTCCTGAAGTTCACGGGGGCTCCGGCTGTCTTTCCGATGTCTTCGACTAGTTTGAGGACTTGTTCCTGAAAAAGGGAACCATAGGTTGCGGAAGGCATCAGCTGATGGTGCAATGCGGCTTCGTGGTTCCGGTTCCGGTTGCCGTCTCCTGGCAGCTTCGAAATAAACGCGCGGACGCAAACAACTACTCATGCACGCCATTCTTTTTTTGTTGTGTGTCCGTGCATTTATTGTGCTTAGCAGAGTGTTATGTATCCGAGCAATGTTATTGATGGTACGTGGAATGTTATGTACAGGGTAATGAAGTCTGTGCATGTGAGTTATACGACTACGAGGGCTTGTATTATAGGGGGCTGATCGTTACGATAAGCCGAACAATTAACTAATATTTGGTAATTAACTTTTTACGTAGTGAAAATAAACTTATGGTTCCAATTAGAAACTTGCTGAGCACCACCGCAAACCACTACTAGAGTAATTTTTCGAAAGAGTTGTAGCTCGTGGAAAGCGCAGCAGTGTGCTAAACGTCTCACTCGTGCAACAGGCAGAATGCTGGCGGCGAAAAAACGCTGATACAGTAAAACCTCGTTATAACAAAGTTGAAGGAGCGGTCGTAATTATTTCGTTATAACCATTAGTTTGTTATAGCCAATGTCCATTTCTTCCCACTATTAGCAAGCAAGGGGAATTATGATTGCTTTGTTATATCCATTAGTTTGTTATATCCCGTTTTGTTATAACGAGGTTTTACTGTAATAAGAGAAAAACCGCACGGTAGCATTGTTGGGGCAGTTGCATTGCTTGTTAGAGTCAGGTTAAGAGTGAAATGGAACCCAGCTGTTTCCACTTAAGCGGAGCGAACGCTGGAGAGGAGGTCGTCAAACATGGAAATAAGTGGGAGGAGCTTCCACTTTACCTGTCACCGACTATGATGGAGTCTTCGAGGATTAAAAAAGCATAGAAAAAGTAGGTAACTCGCTTCAGATGGCCCCAAAACAGAAAAAGGGGGGATAGATGGGATGAAAGAAACGTTCCAGCAGAATATCAAGCGTCACGAGGGTTCACTAATTTAATATGACCTCGAATGCATTTCTTTAGATCAAGGGTTGTCTGGAGTACGGGCTGATATTCTGAAGGGTTTCCTCGTACATACCGCGACCCGTTCCTCTCCGGACTTCTTTCCTAGGCCAAGGTCTCGAAGCGCCTGAACCGTGAACTTCCGGTTGTCCAACCATGTCTTCCCGTTTGGTGTGACTAGTCCTGGAAAGCAGAGTGTCGATCCGTCATTTTTATCGGTTCGGGATCTGGGTTCACAACTCTCAGTTCAGTTCCGGGGAACAAAAAGAACGGTTCATACGAGTTCGAACCGGTTTGAACCGTTACTAGGCCTTTTCTGTCTATGATTGGTTCGGCGATGATAGAACACGTACAGAAACAGGAGGAGCACCAAGGCGGTGCGCTTTTTACGCTGTCCGATTGGTCCCAGCAACTCGTGGCGTGGGCTGCGTCTGGACTTAAAGGTGAAGGGAAGCATATGTAGTTTTCTTATCTTTTATACAACCCTCTTTTACTTTCAGGTACGAAAAATAAGAAATTTCGTTATTTCATTTCGACGCAACAGAGAGAGAAAAAAAGAAGAAACCTACATTAACGTACTAGACGTCGTGTTTGTACGACTCAACATTTATTTGTTTACCTCGGTCACATATATTTTACCTAAGTCGAAAGGTTGTCACGAAGTGGTGTGGAGGTCACCTAGAATACCCGTGATTGGTAGAACTTTGCGCCGCTGTATTAAAAGTTAGATCATAGTTGTGGTCTTGAACTAAGGAATTAATTACGAGGTTTCTGGTATGCGCCCAAGATGCGGGGCAGAGGGACCTTTACAACACGGTAAGCTTTTAAAACTACCCCCCCCCCCCCCCCCTCTTTTTTTTGCGTTGCTCTTTTAGAGATTACGTTTCATTCCCGAGGGACTCCCTCCTCCGTCTCGGTGCTGATTCGAGAATTATATTTGTCATTTGTTAAGAGTAATCCTCCAATGCTTTCATTTTGCACCCAAAAACTGTGAAGTTTAAACAAAACACGGAGGTGGTCAAAGCTAAGGGCAGAACTTGAGAACGACACTCCTGTGAGACCTGCCAACGCTCAGCTGTCCCTGTCGGGGAATCTTCCTTTTCATGTATCCCTCCCGTACACACTTGTCGTTCTAAGTGACGTCAGATTAAGAAGTCGAATTGAGCTTCGATTCTTGGGACAACATTCTGAGGTAGGTCAGTAACAAACGAAAACATGTTTGAGCGCCTCAATAATTTGTACATGTAAAATGGGTTGTGCAACAGTGTTTGTACCGTTCAGTAAATACCACTAAGAATTAATTCCCGACCTTAATAACTTGCGAAAACACCCATTAGTTTGACTCCGCGCGCAATCGCAGACGCAAAAAAACAACAAAAACCTTTCCCTTTTTTTAATTTGCCATTAGAACAAACAGCCACGTGATCTGGCGCTAATTATATTATGTCAGTGTCAGGCACGTAGCCAGGATTTTGTTTCGGGGGGGGGGGGGGGGGGGGGGGGAAGCCGGGCCCCCCTGGCTACGTGCCTTGTCAGTGGTCACCATAGTCATCCGCTGTGGTTGGCAAAGAAGAGAGCATGAGCGGAGCTTTGACATTGTTAGGGTTCGGCCATCCTATCTTTGATTTAATAGGAGCCATTGCCCGAATGTTTGGCGGTGCTGATTGTCACGAACCTGGGAACTCGACTCGAACTCATGACAATCGAGTACGTCACGGTTTCACGTGATTCGCGGTGCAAAGTCGTGATGTCATGTGACGTCACGGTATGATTTCAATTGGCTAGACGCAGTGAGTCGCTTGACGTCACGGGTCCACGTGACGTGACATTACTTGACGGCATGTATTGGCATCATGACGTCAAGTGATCACGCAACACGTGATTAATCATAGTGCAAATACAAAAGCGCCACGAAAATCCACATTTTCTCATTTCTCAATACATGGAAATACAGCTGCCAATTTTTTTTTAATATTAATTTTGTGACATTAGCTAAAAAGAATAAACATTACCGGAACCACTTTGAACCGGTTATCGTTATGTTCTTTTTTTTTTTTCTGGTTCAGTTCCGATTCAGTTCCAAGATGACGGTGAAGATTTTGGTTTGGTTGGGTTTCGGTTCGACTAAAAATAACAGTTCGGTTCCGGTTTTCGGTTCGGTTACGGTTCAACACTCTGCTCTCAAGTAAAAACACTGTTTGTTTGAGCTTAAGTGTGTTGCAAAATCAGTAGAGCCCTGCGCTGATAACCGTCTCATCATCCGCATCCGATTCGCATCCGCGAAATTCAGAACCGCATCCTACTCTTAATCTGTACATTTATTTTACATATAAAAAAAAAACGAGCATAAATAATAATTAAAAAAAAAAAAAGCATCTCGATGGTATATCTTATAAGCCGTTCGCTTACCTCTGTACAACAAGCGTTTCGTATTAGAATACGGTGAAAGTCATTTTATTGTATTCTGTTTCATGGTATTTATAAAATAAGCGATCATCCTTCCAGAGACAGTTCGCGTCACTGGAAAGATGATGGCAGTTATGAGATCGCCTTGGCAGTTTGTGACACAAACACTCTGTACAAAAGATGCGCTCAAAAGAAAGAAAAAAAATATTCCTTTTTGCTTTGTAAAACCTTTAAGAAGACACCTATTTTATGAACATGAAAATTGACAAATCACAGGCTGATAACATTGTGTCATTTTGTTATGGCCATGCAATGAAAATCATGAGCCGTTCCACTCTGTGAAGGTGGATGACCAGCGAAGGTTTTTAGCACACGACACAGACGTGACACAATTTTGAACAAAGAGCACATTTATTGCCTCGATCGGTGGTCATCGTGACGAAAGGTACGCACACACGTCGAGGACTATCGCCGCCCCGAGGAGCCGGAGGGAACTAGACACGTGCGACGGGACCGCCACCCCGCGGAAGGAAAGGAAACTAGGCCCGCAAGCGGCTTGGAACGACGAAAAAGAGGGCGGCACGAGCCCTCTCTTTGTCGGGTGAGGAAAGGCGCTCAATTCCCGTAGCAAAGTACTCGTGTATCTCGGGCAAGGCGCGAGTACGCCACTGGGGAAGTAGTATTCAAGTATGGCAACACGTCCTATCCGTTTCAGTTTTAAACACGAACTTTTAACTGCATACTCGGAACCATATATTTAAAAACAACTCAATCCCAACACTCGAAAAGAAAAAAAAAGAAAGACGTTAACAAATCTTTGTAACGCAAAATTAGAGCTCAGCTCTTGAGGAACAGTAAAGGAGGGTACACAGGGGAGGGTATGCCCCTCCTCCTCTGCTCCGCGTCACCCTCCTTTCCTACTCCTCCCCTTCTTGCCTCCTCAATTTTTCTCCTCTTCCTCCTCCTCCTCCTCTCCCCTCCTCTTGCTTTCTCCATCCTCCCCTCCCCTTCTTCTCCTCCCCTTCTTTCCTCCTCCTCAGTACCCTCCCCTCCTCCCATAGTGTCCCCGCTAAATTTAGCTAAAAAATGGACGCCATGTGACCTCAACAACAATTCGATTCCCCGCTAAATTTAGCGGGGAATTGAATTGGTTTTGAGGTCACGTGACGTCAATTTTCCCGCTAAATTTAGCGCGGTTACGCCGACGCCGATGCCACGAAACCCGGAAACGGGCGCCTAAGAGATGCGCTGTAAAAGACAAAATGAAAGATGTTTACACTTAAAAGGGTGTTCACTTGGGCTAGTTGGTGGTACATTTCAGGATTAAAAGCGCTAAAAAAACGAGGACCAGTAAAACAAGACACACGCACAGTGGAGCTAGTGCACTTGCAACTGAGGTTTAATCTGATTTAAACCAAAGAAGAAACATATATGTCTCGTCAACTACCAGCCACGTCATTGTAAACCCTATTGTTCAATAATCTACATATAATCTTTCTAGCTTGAGTTAACAAAGGACTGAAGATACGCCACCTCCGAATCGTACGAAAAACGCCTCCGAAATTTCCCTAGTCATTTTGTTACGATTCCTGCTCAGGATAAGAGTTTCCTGAAGCTTTGGGCCACAATCGCATCGGTTGCAGAGTACCGCAAGATTACCCGAGGGCGAACGTGGATGGTTGTTGACAAGGCATATATGTTTCTTCTTTGGTTTAAATCAGATTAAACCTCAGTTGCAAGTGCGCTCTACTGTGTGTGCGTCTTCTTTTACTGGTCCTCGTTTTTTTAGTGCTTTTAATCCTGAAACGTTTACAGCAGCTCTTCAGAAGGAGGGGAGGGTACCGAGGGGAGGGTATGCCCCCTCCACCTCCGTATCCTTCCATGCTCCTCTCCTCCCATTTAGCGGAAAATTTTCGCTAAATTTAGCGGGGAAATTTTTTCGCTAATTTTGATGGGTTAAGTTTCCCCGCTAAATTTAGCGCTTGGAATACATTTTAGCGCTCAAAAGACAAGGACACAAAGACGAGAATCAGACAGCACAGTGCGCTACTAACAACTGATTTTATTACATGAAACGTCCGTGTTTCTGATATTGCCCCCTCACTAGCCAACCCGATCCCAGGCCGCGTCATTGAGGAAGGCACGTTCCTTGTCAAGTCACCACCCAGCCCGTTGTTATAAATTGAGTTCCGTATATTTTGAGGTTTCTAACTTTATATTTCTTAATACCCGGAGGTGTGACTGTCGGGGTAGGTATTTCCACTCAAATTCGGTATATTTAAATGTCTGTTTCCGGTGTCGGACAAAAAAAAAAAAAAAAAAAAAAAGGCGTTTATCGGGCATTCAGTTTAGTGTGAATTGTGTTCTGGGTATACCTAATCAAGGTTAAGGCAAAGATTTCTTGCCGTTAACCTTGTGTTTTTTCTTATTGAAGTGCAGCTCATATTCGTGGTTTTTCTGTTTTCCCCCATTTCGACAAATCGGGTTCGGAGGCTAGTTTTTGGGGTTTATCGGAAAACACAAAAGACACGGGTTCGTTCCTAAAAGTACAATTCTGCGTGTTTTTTTTTTTTTCTTATTTTCATAAACAATTTTTGTGTGCGTGTGTGTGTGTGTGAGTGTGTGTGTGTGTGTGTGGGGGGGGGGGGGGGGGGAGGTTGGCGGTATTTTTTTCTTCACAAATTCGATGACTTTCGGTGTCAATTTTTGGTGTGGGGCACAATCTCGAAGTTCATCTGGGGCTTATGCATACAATGAAAACAAGACACGGGCATGTAATATGTCAACATCCAGGAAACATACGAGTGACCCGAATGTTTAAGAAAATGTCCCCGTACCAATAAAAAAAGAAAAAAAAAAAGGAGATAAGATGCGGACAGTTCATTAAGGTTTCTGTTTCTGGTCAGCTCATAATAAAGCCCTATAGACGCTTTCAGGCAACAATTCATGGGCGCCGCCATCTTGACGTCACGTGACCCTGCCGCCATAGCCGCCCTTCAGTTTCTCGCCGTTCCTCCGCGTTGCGTGCTGCACCGGCCACTACCGCAGCTTTGTTTTCGCGTTCCGCATTGAAATCGTTTGTTTTCTTTAGGTCTTTTCAATATTTAGGGCTCTCATTTAATATTTTGATATCTATATTTCAACATAGCTCTTGTATTTTCTTATTTATGAAATGTAATTGGACAGCGAATGTATCGACGATACAAGATTATGGCTTCAGAGACCATGAAGTTCCTCCCTTTCTAACGTTTTTGTCGCTAATAAAGGGCAGTCAACACCATTGCGACATAAGCAAATTTCAACTGACGCAATAAGGCTATCCAGTCGAGCTTCTCGGTGCATGTGCGCGCTCGTTTCCGTAAAGCCGACCCGCATGTAAGCGATTTAGCGTGCGACGAGAGGAGCGAAGGCGACAACGACGAGAGTCCGCGACGAAGATTTCTCACTCTCGCCTGTTTCATCGCTCGGTTTTTTTTTAGTTTCTAGAAAACGTCGCTCGCCGTCTTGGTCGCTTGCTCCCGTCGCTTCCATGCGGTTTGCCTCGTCGCGCGATTGCCCGAGCGACAGCGAAGCGGATCACCGGCGCTTGTCCCGTTGCTCGCCGAATCGCTTGCATGCGGTTTATACTTAATATCGATACGCCGATGGTTCAATGCTGTGCGCATGTAAATTAATTGAGTATAAACCGCACGTAAGCGATTTGGCGAGCGACCAGATAAGCGACGGCGACCCGCTTCGCTGTCGCTCAGTCACTCGCGCGACGAGGCAAACCGCATGGAAGTGACGGAGCAAGCGACCAAGACGGTGAGCGAAGTTTTCTAGAAATCCCAAAACCGAGCGATGCGACGGGCGACAGTGAGAAATCTCCGTCGCTCGCCTCGTCGCACGCTAAATCGCTTACATCCGGGTCGGCTTTACGGAAACAAGCGCGCACAGCACGACTGTGATAGCCTTACTGCGTCAGTTGCAATTTACATCTGTCACAATGGTGTTGACTGCCCTTGATTAGCGACAAAAACGTAAGAATGGGATGAACTTACATGGTCATTGAAGCTTCATAATCTTGTATCGTCGACCCATTCGCTGTCCAATTCCATTCCATAAATAAGAAAATACAAGAGCTATGTCGAAATATAAATATCAAATGATTAAATGAAAGTCCTAAATATCGAAAGGACCTAAAGAAAATACAAGATTTCAACGCGGAACGTAAAAGAAGACGAAAACTGTGCTCCGGTAGTGGTTTGTGCAGCACACAACGCGGAGCAACGGCGAGAAACTGAAGGTCGGCTATGGCGGCCCGGAAAGCGCGCGAAGGGCGCGCCGACTGGTGGCAGCTCGAGTAACTGACTCGCTGAAAGCGTCTTGTGATTTTGTTCTTATTCAAGAACAGGCGCAATTTGGTGTTTTTCTGTGTCCGATTTTGATTAAACCGGCTGGAGGGTTCGTGTTTCTGGGGGTTTATTGCCGAATACCTAAAACACAGAACTCTGCTCATAAGCAACAGCAAAATGAAATCGGAAAGCTTCCGCTTACCAACTTTTGGCGATCGTGTCAAGCCTTCGGCTTTCCACAGCAAGTCCTTCTTGTGAAGCGCTTCTTTGATCGAGTCGTAATCGTTGAGAACTACGATGTTTCTCACGCCCACCTTAAACCTTAGCGAGAAAAAATAACATTTGATTTTAATACAAAGGTGCGGGTAGTGTCGTATACTATATATTCTACGTGCCCCGTCATAAAAAAAAAAAAAAACGCTTCTTTAAAAGTCTTAGTTAAAAAATTTTCGAAGCGAATGCACCCGCTGATTTTACGTCTTGTGATTGAAGACAGTTTTCAATTTCCATTTTTTGTCGCCCCAAAGATGCATAATCTGCTGAAACTAAAAGAATTTGCAGAGCGAAAAGCATGAAACTATACGCGAAGTTCCACATCCACACAAAAATAACAACCAAAGTAAAAAAAAAGAGAAACAAGAACATAAAACAAAATCACATATTAAAAGTTATATTACATTAGATTAAAAGTTGCTATTCAGTATTGTACACACGATTTTTTATAATTTGTTCCTTATACGAAAGCGACTCCGAGACCGCATATTTCAATTTCTTGAAGTGTGGTCGCGCGACGATCATGATTACGGTCGTTTGGGACATAATGATTTATAGTGGCATGTGACGTACCACATACAGGGTGTTTCTCGAATTGCGGGTCAAATCGCGGGCGGGCACAGGTGCAACTTTGCCTAGCAACAGAGCATAGTTTCAGATCCCATAGGATTACTTTTCCTAAAGCCCTATCAGATTTTGAGAAATGTGGCGATTGCTTTTTCATTTGTTTTTGCTCAGAAGCGGGGAGTTGGAGAAGAAGTGACTCTGACTGCTTCCTTTGTCGGTACTAAAAATGAAACCCGCATATTCAGCATCGACTGTGGATCGGAACTACCACATCGCGGAGATGTCAAGGCCTCGTGAGCGCCAGTAACCCCGATCAGAGGAACGCCGGTCTCACGGAGCGCCACATTTGATTGATTGGGTGGAATTCCGACTGCTTGGCCACACTCACCCGACGATGGGTCCGTACTCGTGAGAAAGATCCCGCAGTTTAATGAGCGGGCTTTCACCCAGAAATGGAAGGTATCCGACGAAGGGAAAGCCCTTTGGTCCCGGAGGCATCTTCGCCTGACGCCGACTCTTCTGTCCAGAGAGCCATACCGACACCAAGATGACGCCTGCTACAACCACAAGGGGGATGGTCCAATCATTCAGTGTTATGTTCTGAAAGAAAATTATGAAAGACGTTTACAGTTCTTTGTAATTCCGAGTTAGGGCGCAGCTCTTGAGGAGGAGGAGGGGTGGAGAGGTTTCCAGCTTGAGCGGCGTCACCGTCGGCGTAACCGCGCGTTGCATTATGGGTCATTTTTCGTAATGACGTCACACGTGAAGTCACCTGTGACGTCACGTGAATTTTTGCCCTCCTGACGTCACCTGTGACGTCATGAGGGCAAAATATTCCCACTAAATTTGGCGGGAAATTTTTCCGCTAAACCTAGCGGGAAAATTTTCCTGCTAAATTTAGTTGAAAAATGTTCCCGCTAAATTTAGCGGCAAATTTTCTCGCCAAATCTAGCGGTAAAATTTGCCCTCGTGACGTCACGTGTGACGTCATTATGGGAACCGTCCCATAAAGCATCGCACGGTTACGCTGACGGCAACGCTATTCGAGCCGGAAACGGGCGCCTAAAACGCGATCCAAACCAACGCCGTTAACTCGTTAAGCGCCTAAAAAACGAGGACACGAGGAAGACGAGACAGGATCAAGTTCTACGTTTACTGAAACACTTTCACGTTTACTGAAACACACTTACTATTAAGTACAAAACGAGCGTGTTGGTAACGGTAATTAGACATGAGGAAGATACATAGAAAGGGGGGACGGACAACGAAGACTTCCATGTAACATGTGTACATAAAAAGGGGGGACGGACAACGAAATCTTCGTTGTCCGTCCCCCCTTTCTATGTATCTTCCTCGTGTCTAATTACACTTACTATATTTGTACACAAATTCAGGCTCCCGACACAAAAAGGCGAGCTCTTTCTCATTTAAGCGCACAGACGGTGCACTTAGGCACCTATCCTCGCCCTTTACTTTAATGCAGTAGGCCTCAAACAATTCTCTATCAGTTTTTTTTTTTTGTTTCTTTTCCAACCAGTTTTGTTTTGTGAAGATTAATCGCGCACGCACACCTATCGCAGTGAATTGCTAGTTTCCCCGATGGGGAATTTCTAACAGATAGGGCGTGCTCGCGTGCCCTATCTTTGATGCACCTCCCCGTTTGCCCCGTTTGCTTTTCCGCAAGTCGTAGGTATCTCATAAACAGCTGACTTTGCGGATTCAATGAACAGCGCGGCGTGTTTCTTGGCGCAAGCCTTAGTTTTTTCTTTCTTGTTGTTAGCTCTTGAGCAGAGGCTGGACAATTTTGGCGGCGCATAGAACACCACGGGCCCCTCAAAGTGTGCGGAGACTCTTTTTAGGCCGTGGGACAGCCCGTGGGCGTAGGGGATTACCACCGGTACCTTGTCTTTTTTCTCTGGTCGGCCGCTTCCACTCCGTTTCTTTTTTTAACCTTTGAAACCAAGGTTTCTGCAACTTCTTACAAAAAAACGCTCTGGATCGCCCGCCGTTTTAAGGCGTCGCACCTGATCAAGAAAGCTTTCGCCCATGTTATGCCTACACGACTTGTCTAGGAAGGCTTTCATCAAAGACGACGCAATTCCTCGTTTGACTAATTTGGAGTGGGCAGACGAAGAAGGCAAGATGCCTTTCTTCGAGCGTGGCTGGTACTTCCAGCATACGAGGTCCTTGTCGGCGTGCAAGTTTAGATCCAAGAACTGCAGCCGTTTTGACACCGTATTTTGGTGGGTGAAGGTGAGGCCATGTGATTTGGAGCAAAAAAATATCTATCGTTTTAATGATAATGTCGCCGTTACAGGCATGGGGATGTGGTCCACCAAAAAATCATCCATTGGTGTTTGTGCCACATCCCCATGATTCGTGACATCCCTAGTGGCAGATCAGGAACATCGGTGGTTTTGAGAGAACCCGGTTAAATGGGCATCTCAGAATTCTAACTTGTAATAATAATAATGATGATGTTTATTTCCACCATAAGATGGTGGCGATCAGGGAAAAAAGCTGTCAGGTACAGCTTGGCGGGTCCCTGACCGCCTACAGAAAGCAGCAACAGAGCCGGGATGAACAGTAATCAAGAGAAAACTAAAAAAATTGTACAACGGTTGTCGCTGTCACAACATTTTAAGCACAAATATTTGATTTTTTTTTTTTAATTTGTATTGAGCTATGACGGGTAGCAGAGATAGAATCATACAAAAACTAGGTATAAAGACTACAAAGAAAGGCAAACTACCCCTAGCTGCTGGAGAAAAAGGGTGATCTTCTCTTAGGGATAACTTATCCCAATCCATACTTGTAGCCATATACAAATTGAGTAGTTAATATCCTGAAGGCGACACGTGCTGTATACATGTAGCGATTGTGGGAGTGTGCCAGTTTAAAAAAAATCGAGACTTCATTAAATGCACGATTACTGATTTCAACTAAGTATTCTTTCTCCTAAATTTAGATTGAAAGGAAATGTATTGCGAGATGCATCACTCGCCGACGGTAACTCTGTTACAACTCTGTCAAATGGCCGCGACATTTCAAGATCCCTTCTCGAGGTCATTCTTGAGGAAGACTAATATTTTTATTTTTCGGTTAATATCGGATATCAGTAAATAATTTACGGTTATGTTTGCGGTTTTTATAACTTTCAAGTAATGGTTTCGTTCCGGTTACGGTTACTGAAAAAAATTTCATTTCTCAACGGTTTTCGGTTTCGGTTGCGGTAACGGTTGGAGTCTCTGGTTCCACGTCTCCGGTAATGATGGGGGGGCGTCTGAGTCCCGCCCAACGGGGTAAGACCAGTCCCCAAATAGGAAACTTTCGCTCAATCTGGCGGATTCTCACAAGTTGGGTGACCACGGGCACGGCCGCGGGAGCGTCAATTGACCGTACGGTCAATTTACGCTCCTGAGTTGGTTGCTAAACTGGAAAGGGCGATCGCCGTGCCTTTTGGGGAAGGATTGACTTAGTGTACTTAATAGGTTATGGTTCGGAGTAACCAAACCATCTTGTTGGTTCAAATCGAAAGAGGAAGACGAAGCGCTTCGAACAGGTCTGTGTTTTTCTCGGCTCATCTGTTTGTGCTTATTTCTATTTATAATATCACCAGTTTGGACAATTCTAGCTTCAGCGAACGATTAATAAGGCTTCCTCCGTTTGTCGGAGGGGTGGCTTCCGATCGGCTCGGGGTACAAACCCTGACTTCGCCATGGCTACCGCAAGCCCTTCGCTAACGGCAAGTCAGAAGACTCCACCTGAGCGCTACAGCATGCCTCCTTCCACGTGCGGATCCTCTATCGCCGAGCTGGAGAACGAAGCCTCCGTCACTAACCTGGCAGAAGTTAGAGCTCCTGACCACGAGTTTCAGTAGACCGTGTTTCCCGCTCCGCTAGCCCTCCGCTACGAAGAAACTGCGCCTGCGTGCCGATGGCCTTGACTGTAGAGTTCCGGGTAGCGGAGGGGCTTAGGAGCGGGAAATACGGTCTTCTAAAACTCGCTAATGCCACGAATGAAGGTGACGAGAAGCCGAACAGTGAACTGAAGGATAAAGGTTTAGTTGGCCAACTTGTGCCAAACAAAAATAAGTAACGAAAGAGCGTCGAGACAGCAGAAAAGCGGGCGGCGATTCGGCGGCACTACAGAGCGCTAGCATCGGGGCTCGTGCATCGGGGCTCGTGCCTCCCCGGGCCATGATCCTTACCGAGACGCTGTTTACGTGCCATGGAACGAGTTTCTAGTAGTGGCATGTAAACAAAATACATGAAAAATGAAATCCCAGCGTGCTTCGGGGGGGGGGGGGGGGGTGCATTTCCACTTGCGTGGAGAAGCACCCTCTCGGAGAACTTCCCCCCCCCCCCCCCGGGAAGATGGAAAGTCTACGCCAGCTAGACTCTCCTCTCTGTGATAACTGTGCCGTCACAGACACACTCAAACATGTCCTGTGCCAGTGTAGCCTATACACAAGT